ATGAAAAGAAATTGACAATGGCGTAATTAATAACAATTTTTTGTTATTAAATTACTCATATGGGAACTGAATTTTTTTAAAGACATTTATAATCATTTTCCCATGAAAAATTATGAAAATTATTAATACTCAATTTAAATATTTACTAGTGTAAAACCTATTTAATAACAAGCTTTTGAGATTAAGATTGAACTTTTTGTTTCAATATAACCAGTACTTTACCAATGGGTTTTGTGTAGTATTTAGAAAGTATTTTGATTACAAAGTATTATAATGAATTACTTACGAAATATCTAATACCTTAAAATATGTATAAAATTAGGTACTCACATTTTGTTGTTTCTATTTAGAAATGTTGTCTTAAGCTTCTTGATGCCGTCCTTTGTTTTAAAATGAAACTTGATTAGATGATGAATATTATGTGTGAGTAGCTGGTTGTAGTTCAATGTACACTGATTAAAGTAGACTTCTGGATATATGTTAATTCGTGTGTAAAAGAAGTTCATGTTAATCTCCCAACTTAATTTCATTTAAGTACTCGTGTGTTTCTTTTCGCAATATTATTCACAGATGTCAATCGATTAAGTCACAAGACCGATGACCGAACAAAAAAGTTTTCGGTATTCAGTTATTACTTAAATTATTTGAAACTTAAAAAACTTAACTTCCAAAACGCACTTGGTGTTCTCAGAAAAACGCATGTATAATTCAATAACTCGTCTGCACAAGAGATTTAACTCAAGTGATGAAATGCGAAATAAGAGTCTAGAATTTTAGTTATATTTGTGTTGACCGTTTTGAATTTGACACTGCTATTTTAGGAACAAGTCCGGGATGAGATAGAGGTATGTAAAAAGATTATAGTGGAAGCGAGATATCAGATGTGACGTCTTATTTGAAGATTCAATGCATAATTCGCTTCACAAGAATGACGTTTTGACATATTGCGATCTGTTTTACGCCTCTTATAAATGGTTTCAATGTATGTAGTACTACAGTAGGTACCTTTTTTGGGAAATGGATATCTGAGGTAAAAATAAATACTATTATATTGCGATATAAAAATAATGACGATAATTTTTTTCATAATTTATATTGCCTTGAATACTTCTATTACAATATAAATGACAGCACAAGAATTTGCGTAAAATGAAATAAACATTATAGAGGTTTCATCTGTAGTAAGTTTTGAGATGATGCAATATTGGAGGAAATTATGGGATAAAATCAATACTGGCTCCAACATATATATCATGTAAACAATGTGCTTTAAAAATTATAGCAAAACATACTAATAATATACGTGTATATTCTGAAAATACGTCATGTTATTATGAATAGTTTTTGTTCGTAGAAATGTATATCCACTAAAAGTTTAAAAAAGTCATTTAATTTTATTTTAACGAAAATATTCAAGGTATTACTCCCGTTATTTATTCCTTTATATTATACAGGTCATAATATCACGGCTAGCCGTAAGTGTAAAGTAAAAAGTGTTAAACTTGACTTTTTTCTCTACGCTTCAAAAACCATTGAAGCTCTTTGATCATTCTAAGGTTGTGTATTTCAGCTACAATACTTGATAATGATTATAGCGATCTTATTATATTCTTCCTCTTCTTCCTAACGAGCTTATTAAATGTTACAAAATAACACATATTTACATATGTAATTCGGCTTTGAGAGACATGAGGTAAGGTATAAGAATATTTTATAAAAAAATACTTATAAAGACTCGTTAAGTAAAGAGTTACTATTGAAAATTTTTCAAGAAGAGATTTTTGGTCCTCGGGAATACTTGGGTATAATATAAAAGATTATGACTTATGGCCACCACCTCATTTGTAATAAAAAATCGTGACCATAACTAAAATAGTTGTGTAGTAAGTAACTTGTTTAGGATGACGCTTAATAATATAAAACGGAAATAAATATTAAGAAGTATTTAACATTTATCATTATTATTAGTTAAAGTAAACAAAGCCACTTACTAAACAATCAACCTATAAATTTATCTATAAATTTTTAATTACAAGTATATGTGAAGAAAATAAAAATCTAATAAACACGAACAGTTTGTTATTACGTTTTAAATTATTTAGTCGAAATTAGTTGAGTGAGCATTTCTTTTTTATATTTATTCTGTGGCTCGGGAGACGGACTGTCAATTTGTCAATTTGTTTAATTTGTCAATAGGGTAGTACTAAATAGTTTTGCGCATATTGTAATTGAATTTTTAATATTTATTGTTGCCTAAAGTGAGTTTCAGTGCGAATTATATTTATATATTCATATTAATTAAGATCGTAATGTGTCTGTTATGGAGTAAAGCATCACTACTTGCAAACGTCTATCTCACTTATTCGTGTATTTGTTTTTAGAATCCGAGATGTTTTCATATTACGTTACTGACTTGAAGCGGATATTCTAAAGTCTTATTTTCTCATCAACTGATAAAGCTGTAGTCAACAGGTATGTATACATTACCTATATTATGGTTTACGCGATTCTGACCTTGAAAGCATAATTGCTGAATATGCAAATATTTTCATTAAAGTTAAAAGTGATGGACGGATTTCTATTTTGTATTCTACGCTGACATCTGTTGGAAAGTAATTATGTAGCAATCATTCTAGATAAGGTTAAACCTTTGCCATATGTAGACATATCTCAGAGTTCCTTAAATGTATTCAAATCTGCTTTGAAATTTCCTTACATTTAATTGTATTGGGGAATTTTTCTACAAGAAGTTAACCTTGAAATTCTTTTAAGGTATATGCATGTAAAATAACATCATTACAAACCAATTGTATGGCTATAGTATTGAATAGAATCTATTGGTCTTACAATAAAGTTATAGTGTTCATATGTTAAAATCTACTATAAAACGTCATAAATTCATTTATACAATTTACTTCTAATTCAAGGTTACTGTATGTAAAAAATAATGTAATAATCATGCCTCGGTTTTAAAATATTCCTTTCATATGTTGTAATAATTAATACAATATTTAAATTTCTTTACACATTTAATTTTTTTAAGGTAGTAATAATTTCTGTTTTTTTTTACATTAATGGTCTTGCTTGCTCGGGTAATAAGTAATTTTTGGTAATATTTTAAATATATAAATTCTCACATGGATGTTGAAACTTTCTATTAATCAAATTTAATATTAAATTTAGTAAAACGATAAGCACTAAATTAAAAGGATAATTTTTGTTTTTATTAAGAAATTCCGTGTATTTTTATTTATAAAATAATTTAAGACACAATATTAATTTAACACAAATTGGTATCTGAAGTTTTATATCTATGTTAATATAATTTATACAAGAAAATGATTAATAGTACCACTTATTTTATGTTGCGACCACTGAGTTCAGTGGTCCATACTGATAACTCTAACAGGTTGATATCAGCGACATTACAATTAGAAAATGAGATCTTGGTTTCAAAATATTGTGATCGAGTGATCCAATCATTTGAGAAAGATGTATTACCTCAGTACTTCGGTTTTTGATTTTTGAGCATAAAATGGTTTTTATTTTTTTTTTCAATATGTAGTACCGTTTTTAAAAATTCTAAAAGGTCATAAGTTCATAGGAAATTGAATGGAGAATTTAAAAAAAAAATTCAGAACTGTGTTGTAACCGTAAGACGGTTAAAAATGAACATTAAAAACTCGTTTTTTTTAGGTTCTTGTGAGCCTATATATCTCATACTTTTTCTTTGGATAACTACCATCGAGCCCCAAAATAATTTCTGGTATTTCAATCAATGGAATAATTACAATCTGAGAAAATTAATTTTTCCTAATTTTCTGTATTTTTTGATTTTCTCAGAAGCGGTTATAGATAAAGATCTGAAACTCGCAGCATCGAAGTATCTTATGAGTACAAACACTCCCTGAAATATTGAGCCCGATCCCTGTCTGGAGCCGATTCGGTATACATATCGTCTCACGGCCTTTAATATTTCATTTAAAATTTAATAATAATTTTATTCTAGAAACTCAAACTTGTCACAAAATCTTATATATAAAATACTTCTGTTGCGGTGTTAGACAGAGAACTCCTCTAGAACGGCTTGACCAATTTTCATGAAATTTTGTGATCATATTGAATAGGTCTGAGAATTGGCCAACATCTATTTTCTATACCCCGAAGTCACAAGGGTTGTTCACCCTTTTTTTTTTGGACGAAATTTTTTGTTTTTATTTTTATAATGTAGCTTTTAAAGATTTATACAACCCAAAATTTTTCCTTTTTATCACCAACCCCTATTTTTTTATATGGCTAAATAACTTTTGGCAAGTCAGTATTCTATGTAATAATATTTTCTTGTGTTTATATTTTGACCTTTAAATAAAATGTTCGAATTTCATTTTAAGACAAAATAAATATAGACCCCTTGAATCGAAAGTCTCTAAAGATAGCTTAGTTTAAGATGATTTTGCTATAATTATGAGATTTAATATACTAGTTCATATTAAAATTGTTTTGTATAGAGGATTTATCATATTCACTTAAATTTATACTTTATTGCTAAGACATAAAGTAGATAATAGTTTAATGATATAGTTGTTAAAAAATATATTACAAATGGTTTGACAAACTTTTAGTTTGAAGAAATTGAATGATTAATATGACTATTGAACACAAAGAATATTCTAGCAACATATAAATGGTGTCTATTTACAATAGGAATGTTGTTTTGTCCAATTTAGTAATGCTCATTAGGGATCTGCCCTTCATTAATAATATGTGTGTAATTGCTAGTTACATTTTAATCATGTAATATTACTTAAATGCTATTTTAAATTGCTACATAAATATTTTCTATATCATTTCTTTATGTGATGTAGACAATAAATTTCAAATATAGAAAAAAGAAGTTCTATATTTGATTTTTTTTTATTGGATCATTAGTTAGTAATAAAAGAAAAGTCTTAAGTGTGGGTATTATATGTTATGTAATAATGTATTTGTTGCGCTTTTAGATGAAAATGCCTCTGATAGAGGGTGTTGGTGATGAGGTGGTGCAGTTTGCTGGTGTGGTTTTGGTTGTGGTGGTGGCCATGCTAGCCTGGTGGTCGACTAACGCAAGACCTAATAGATACCGCACTGTACTTGTTATGAGATCCCGCGCGCATCCCGTCACTGTTAATATATTGTCACGTTGGTATCATTGTCATAGTTATGTTCTATACTAGCTTTTACTCGTGACTTCGTCCCGGTGTATTTTTTTTATTTATATGAATAAACATTTTCTTTAATATGTATGGCTGTGTTATGTCAGCTGTTTTGATAGTAAAAGTGTCGTTTAAATCAGTCTAACTGCTATAGTGAGTCACAGTAAAGACAGACAGGCAAACATTATAAAAAAAACATATTTTGTTGTATGGCCATGTTTTCCCAACATTTATTTATAACTTCTTACAGACATCCCATTTTCATTTGTTTATATAAATATTATTGATATTCTAATTGTGTTGAAAATATTTTTGCTTATAGGAGCCAACGTAACCACGTCTCAGAACACCAATCAGGCTTCAACATCCACAGCTATAGGTATGTAAGATTTCTAGTATAAATCATTAATATTTTTTATATCCTTTCCACTTCAATACTTCAGAACGATTTATAATTACATTATAGAGTATATTACAACTATAGCTGACTGAATATTTTTTTTCTTATCGCCAGTGGCAGGTAACGTCAGTTCGCACAGTTTGACCAGAGACAATAGAGTTATACCGCTACAGGAAATGGACAGCATTGTTGACGCTGATATGGCCATGTTGGATAACCATCGGCTGCACTTCTACCGTAGAATACATTGTTAGTGGAATACCATAGACATTACGTCATAATAAACAAATGAAGAGCGTCAAATGAATGACGGGGTGAATAGGCACAGAAAGTACATTTAGGTTCATTTATTATAAATCAGGACTAAATTATATTATCTTGATTTTGGTACTTTAACTTGATTTGCATACTTTTAGTTATGATAAGTAAATATTATATGTTATTCCTATTTAAGCATGATAATATGGGGTTGATAGGGATGGTAAGTTACTTTATTGGGAAATATTGTTAGGGTTGCCACATTTCTTATAACTGGTGCCTTAATAGGTGGTTATGTAGTATTTCTAGTGAACTTAAATAATATGCATTAAAACATTTTAAATTTAATACATATCTTTGTTAGAACCACTTAATAAATATTTGTAGAAAACATATTATATTTAAGATAAGATTTTATCATTCAGTAAAAGTTAAACTTCATTGATCTTTGTAAATTGTACCATGTTTTTAGTTTGGTAAAATAATTTAAAGCTATAAAATTTACATTTTATAACAATTGAGCAAACTTTGGACTGTTTGTTAATTTTGTAAACACTTAAAGTTATGAGTTCCAAATATATTAAACGTCAACATAAGTTAATCACAATATCGCTAATGAAGTGAGATTAATTAAGTTTTTGTTACCAAAATCTTAATGTTGAATGTTGAACTCGTCTCGTAATACTCTGTAAGCCGTAGACAAAGAAAAATATTAGATTAGTATAGTTAAGAATTTTAAATTACATAAAAAAATATTTATTTTGAAAATATTCGCTGGCAGTTCATTATGTACATAGTAACACATAACTATTGAGCTAACCAGTGTATGTATGTATGTATGGGATTTTACTCATATTAAATCAGTTCTTATATAATTACTAGAAGAACCGGCGAACTTCGTATCGCCCTATAATCAAGAAATGTCTGTTACGTTTTTTATTTATATTTTTGGAGTTTACCTATTAAAGCCATAAATCTCCATTTTTTGAAGTGCGACAGAATGATTGACATATTAGTTAGTTGTCAAACCTAATGTCAAAGAAAAAACGTTTGTATCAACAACTACTAATAAATTAAAAATTAATTAAAAAAACACTGTCCAGCGGACAAAATTGTGAATCTAAACAATTCCCAGATCCCGTTGAACACACACAAAAAATTTAATAAAAATCGGTCCACTCGTTTGAGAGAAGTTCAGTGACATACACACTCACAGAAGAATTATATATATAAAGATGTAATACGTATTTTTCATTATACTTATTCTTTTTTTCAGCTCCCCCAAGTGATGAGACACCATCGGAAGCCCGCAGCGAAGAAAACGAAAGCCTTGAAGAACCGGAGCCAGCTAGCAGTGATCAGATTCGAGAAATGAACAGCATTGTCAGCGCTATGGAGGCTGACGCGCCGCCTGGATGTACATGTTACAGACGGAACGGTGAGGCAACACTAGTATAATGATATGTAGTATATTAGTAAGAATCTGTGCACATCCTACTGACTTCTCTCCTACACTATTCTAGGTTGGCTGGCAGAAATAATGTTATAGCGTTAAGTCCGTCCTTTGTACAAGTTTTATTTGTGCAATAAAAAATAATAATAATCATCTTGTTGCATACTAGGAAGAGGGATTGTTATATAATATATAGAATAAAGCGATTGGGACCTAGCAATAACATTATTTTATACAGCTAAATGAGAAATTTTGCTTACAATAGAGGTGATATGATTTATGATTTCTTGAACTATTACATTATTTTAACTCATTGTATATATGTGAATTATGACAAAATTTGTCATTGATGTTAATTTCATAGTGAAAATCAGTTTGTTATGGTTTCTTTAATACTAGCTGCGCCCCGCGGTGTTACCCGCGGATTTTCGGGATTTCAGGGATGTAAATTAGCCTATATGTTATTCCTGGACGTTAGCTTCCTGTATACAAAATTTTATCAAAATCGGTTCAGCCGTTTGAGCGTGAAGAAGTAACAAACATACACACACACAAACTTTCACAATTATAATGCCAACATCAATACAATGTTCTTTAAGTACAAAGGATTCTAGAATAAAATTCAATTCAGTGACTGTTTGATTAATGTCAAATCAAATAATTAAATTCCAGAAGCAAATACCAATAAAGAAGGACCTAAGAAGGAAGGTAATGAAAATATTGAACAGACTACTGGCACTAGTGAAGTGGAAACTGCTGGGACTTCAATTGATGATGCTCCCGGTGAAAGCAGAATATTGATCAAACTGAAATATCTGAATGATACATTGAAAGAAGTTGAGGGTAGTCTTGACGAGCTCTTGAAGGACTTTAAGAGGTAAGTGGAATTTTTATGTGTAACTATGTACTTATATTGATAACTCTGATGTAATAAATGGTTCTATAGGTTTCTATTTTTAAACTTTTAAGCAAAATTATTGTATACAAAAGAAAATAGGTGCAATATCGGTTACGTACTTTTTGATCGATTTAAGTGATTTGTAAAAAGATTTGGAATACATTTTTTATATTAATCATCTTTAAAGGAAGTAGTTGTACAGGAGGTTATACTTTTTCATGAAAACAATTTTGACATACATTTATACTGTATGTTATTGTAATTATGTGTAATTAGAACTTATAGACAAAATTAACAATATTAAAGCTGACATAGAATATTCCAGTTAATAACAATTATATTCAGCTTCATAACAACTAAACTTAGGTCCATGATTTGTAAAAAACATCAACTATTCAAAACTATACAATAACTCATCATTTGCTCTTCCTATCCAATTTTGATAACAGTTTTTTATTAATGGACTTTAATCCTATGAGTTCATTAAGTGCATATTTTATATTCTTTTCCCAAAGCAAGCCAACTTTTGTGAAGCTCTGTAAAGATCTCATTGTATAACTTTAAAACCATTTTATCCATAAATTAAATAATGTCAACCTTTGTAGATTTTTGTTGTTGCATTTAAATTTATTTTGTTTAGTTTAATTATTTTAGTTTGTTTTTTTTATTATTATTTTTAGTAAAGATATAATTAGGTTAGTATAGTCTCATCTTAAGGTCAATGTTGTTTACACCTGTAATGATTTATTTACCTAGATTTAATACCCTGTATCTACTGCTAAGTGAATGTGTTAGTGAGAAGTCGATGGTGTAACTATTTCTAATAAATAAATAAATATATTTCTTTACAGACGTCATTTCGCGGAGGAGCTATGTTCAGAGCGCGTAGTCCGTCTGATCTTCCGTGGTCGTGTGTTAGGTGACGAGGCCGCCACGCTGCGTGCTTGTGGTCTTCATCACCGCGCTGTGGTCCACTGTCTCGTACATCCGAAGAGACAGAGACCAGTGCAGGTAGACCCTCTAAATATATCCTCCATATTTATTCTCAATATACCCTAGATATAGATTTGGTATTTGAGCTTAATTGAAGTACAGTAGAAGCTCTTTATTCGCGGGGTTTATGTTCCATAAATATGCCGCGAATACAGAAACCGTGAATACGGAATGGTAATTTATATGGGATTATTTAATTTAATATTTAATTCGGTTTATAATTCTCAAAAACACCGCTCGCGGCGAAGGCGGCTTTTGTCAAAGTCCTCGGCGATATCATTTAACAACATACTTATGGTAAAGTTCTTCTAGAAGAAGAAGATTTATGTTAAAGTTGTAATAAGGTCTATTTTACTTTTTTATTAGTCCATATGACAAGTATGTTGTGTTAGATACTTATTGGAATAATTTTATTATTATGTATGTACTTATTAGATCCGCGAATAAAGAAATTTTTAGTCGCGAATATAGGAATTGAGTAGCATTTTTGGAATCGGCGAATTGTGAAAACACGAATAAATGAAGCGCGAATAGGGAGCTTCTACTGTACTTATAAAGGTTGTAGCTCATGTTGGATTGGTTGAACTGGAATTGTGTCAAAGTTTCTCTTTTGTCATCTAATTTATCTATCTAAGTTACCTAAGGTTTTTACGCACTGAATAAATTCATTAGTTCAGCTTAAATATGTATTTTTTGTGGTCGAATCATAATTTTGGTTGCCTATGCTGTGATATGTTTCATGTATTTGTCTATTATAGGAGATGAAGTAGTTTTCTAGAAGCAAATGTTAGAATGAGAGAAAGTCTCAATATTTTAACTGCACAAATCGTGACTAAATTGACATGACTTATCATTCGCTATAAATAGTTTAATAAAAGTAAGCTAATTGATAATATACACAAAAATATGAAATATAAAGCTATTTCTACTTAAAGTCTTTCAAAGTACACTAGTGGCTCATAAATCCTTTCTCCCTATTAAAGCTTCATAAAATTTACCCTAATTCTACAGTAAAACATTTTGCATGTGACTGTATTTTATGGGTTTTATTTCTAATGTAATATTATTCTTTCTGTTTATTTTTTGTTTCACATTGGCATATAAAGTAAATTTCACAAGAAAAAGTATACATTCCACATGATTCTATAGTAAGGTCAAAGCAGTTGATTTTTTTATTACAAAATTGACAAAGTCTATTGTATGGGCTCCTTCTAATTTTAAATTATCTACTATATCATATAAAATGTATTTTTATTTTTATTTGGGTAACACCAAGGCAAGATTGGACAGGATAGCATTCAATACTTCATTTCTACCCTCCATTACGTGAAACTTAACTGTTCAGTACATACAACGAACATGTCTAAGAAAATAACATTATGAAGTATCCATTAGTGAATTTGATTATTAGCAAACAACCAACCCTACATCAGCGGAGGGTCAAAGTGTGGGATCTGAAGCCGCCCCGGAGCGTTCCTGGGATTTGGAGAACATTCTGATGACGCTCGTCTCAATTGCTCTAACTATTGTATGGTTTTTCAGGTAATTACGTTATCTTTGTAGCATATTTATAAAAACTGCTACGTAAAATATAAAATTTGTAAAGTTATTGAAAAGATTTTTTATAAATGTAGTAGTTTTCACCGCGATTTCTTATGTTTGGTATTCAAAATTAAGTGCAGATAAAATTATTAAGTGTTAAAACTATAGGTATGTTAATCAATCGGCAGCGCCATCTATAGTTTGTGTCACGTAATTTTATGTAATATTCACCTATTATTCTGTGATCCCGTACTAACAAATAAAAACGAAAATACAGGATAAGCTATTATACTCCGCCCTATTTTGATATATAAGGTTCATGAGTATACAGTGTCCTTAAAATGTGTTTAGTAGTTTATGCATTCAGAGATACAAACACTCTCACAAACTTTCATATTTCTAATATCAGTATCTATACGAATATATAAATGTGTATTTATTTATGTAAACAAAAATTAAGTTAAATTAGATTCTTGTGTATTGTCAAAAGTAGTGCAATTCGTGCTATACTAATCATAATGTACTACAATTATTACAATTATTGTTATGTCTGATTATAATGGAATATAATACGGAACCAATGTATTATTGTAAAGGCAACATTTATCACATTGTAGGACAATATTGGATTAAAACTAAAAGTGTATTTCGAACAGAATATAATTCTTTATTTTTCAAGTAATTCATTGTCATATAACATAATAATATTTATAATTACAGATGCGAGTATTCGAATATGTTTACAGCGAGCGCCAGCGTCGCCTTGTTTGGTCTGACCGTGTTCTACAGTGTCGCTATATTCGGTCTTTATTTATCCGATTCATTCTACTTCGAACGACGTCCCGCGCAGCCAGTAGCGAACAACTGAATTAAAATTTTAATATCCCTAAGAAAATTATATTATGTTATACAATGGGCTAAAATTACATTCTATTTTTTTGTAATGTCAAAGTTTTTTAATATAATTCAATATATTATCTGCCCCAATAACATACTTAATGTCGCTTTCATAGCTTGATGTAAATGTCTTAAATGATCTTGTGATAGATGTAATTTCCCGATGTAATATTACTATATTTAACATATATTAGTATATTGAAATGTGAATAGTATAATAATTTATATAGAATTAAATGTAAAAATAACATACAACATAATATCCGTTTCTGAACAAGCACAAAGTTCTCAATTTAATTATATTCATTTGTTAGAATGGCGGCAACATTAGCTTGGAGACTTATTTTTATTAAGAATAATAGATGTTCCTTATCCATTACTTGCAGGCAAAACCGGGTCGCTTTTATATTGTCGTGGAAATTTGTGTTAGATTGAATGTAAATACTATTACGTTAATATTTTTATTTTATTTTTTTAAATAATGGTTAGGGTAAAGTTACTCTGTTTTATACCTTGTATCTATTGATTCATAAATAGTTGAAAATTGAGAGTTCATGTTTATTTCAGCTTAACTTTTTATCGTTATTTATTTTATAAGGTTGTAATGAAATAAATTGAAAATTTTTATGTTGTCTTTTTTTTAAACAAAATCTTATCGAATTAAAGTTAAAGAATAATGTGTACTTTGATGACATATGTAATTACAAATAAACTGAACACCTAGTTTGACGACTATTTGAATTACAATAATTTGTAAACACAAATGTGTTCCCATAATGTTGATTTTTCTACCTATATTGCTCTTATAAAATACATTATGCTCATGCATATTACTACGTGTTTGCATTGTGAAAGTAGTTCCTAGTTATACATTCAAAATTCTTACATGAAGACAATTTTTTTAGTATCTCTCTTATGGATCCAAGAAGGTCTCGACAGGGGTTTATGTGCACATAATAAAATATTGAACCCCAAGATATTATGTAAGTGCACGAAAATTAATATCATAAATTAATACTAATGAGTTTATATCTTAACTTTTATCTTTACTTTGAACGGGGAGTTATCTTAAAATAAAAGTGTCATTGGCAAAATACTCCACAATTCCGGTGAGAATGAAGCCATAGAAAAAAACAAGAATAAGTTTTTTCTTTACGCTGTGAGTAGATGTTAAGTTTTGAGCTCAGTTCAGTTTTTGATAATTAATTCTGTTCTGTTTTGGCTCAGTTTTTGATAATTAATTTTGTTTTGAAATTCAGATCTCACGCAGGTTTCCATATTCCATAGGGAGTTACAAATAACAATAATATACAGGGTGACTGGTGAATTACTATCGATATTTGAGGACGTGATATTTGACGATCATATATGACAAAATAAAAATTAATATAACATAAATATTAATAAACTTCTGAGTAAAGTTAATCAAAAGTTATGTAATTAATTACGCATCGTGTGAACACCCTACAGATTAGGTATAAACACACACTCACACATACGCGTTGTGCGGCGTTGTGTTGTATCAGCACGCCGCAGCACGCGTCCACACTTGGAACACTTGGAACGTGTCAACGCTTTATTTATTTATACGGAAATTTTGTCAAAAATTAAGTGCCTATTTTTTTTACATAATTCGAATGAGAATCATGTACCGAGTATTCTCCTTAAATATTGATAGTAATTCACCAGTCACCCTGTATAGGCACATTATGCCTCGTTTTGAGAAACGTATTTGCAGCAACGAATCCACTGGAATGATCCATCTTGAAGTAAATTAGAAAAAATAGTACCCAACTATGTATTTAATAGAAGCATCATGCTTTACATAGAGATACTGAGTTAGCTTCAGCTTTGTAGAGCTTTATCTGTCAGATGAAATACAATCCGGTATCTATTTAGAGCTACTAACTTTTAACGATTTTTTTTGAAACAATGATATCTAAGACTTCTGCTACCTTGCAGTAACCGTGATCACGGGCAGATGAGATATGTCTGACTGTTAGCTATTTGAAGCTCGCTTTGGTTTACATGATAATTAAGACTTTTTCGAGTATTTATTATTATAAACTAGCTTTTGCCCGCGACTTCGTCCGCGTGGAATAGTGACTTCTGGCAGAAAAATATAAATAGCTGTGCCCGCGACTCCATCAGCGTGTAACTCCTTGATTATTGAATTGATCGCTCTACAGATTTATTATAAGTATAGAAGAAGATAACTTTGGTGTTTTTCTAAACCGATTTACATAATTCTTTTTTTATTGGATAGGTCATAATGTTAACTTTTTAAAATTAGGGATGAGTTTTAGTGTTGTAAACGTTAGAGAATACAATCAGAAATCTCCGAATTGCTAAGCTATCGGGAGTTTCACGTGTTATTGTGAGTCAACAATAAAAGATAGACATATGCCATCGAGGAATACTTTTTATATAATTTTAAGAATATTTCCGTCATAGATCATTTCTATGTAGCTTTAACCTATAAGCCTGCACACGCGACGAAAGCTTAAAAAATTGAGTAACTTCTCCCGTTTTCCTAATATTTCCCTTCACTGCTCCTATTGATCGTACGATAGTGAAAAATAAACTATAATCTGGCCAAGGGTATGAAGGATAGTTGTGCCAAATTTCGTTAAAATCGGTCCTGTAGATTTTGTTTCCATAACGAATATACAGACAGACAAAAATTTTACTGATTGCATTTTTGGCATCAGTTGCGATCCCTATTACCACCCCCTGATAGTAATTTTTTATATATATTTTATGTACAGAATTGATCGCTCTACAGATTTATTATAAGTATAGATGAAAGTAACATTTGGGATATGAGTGGAGGCAATAACAACTCGTAATTTAATAAAAATAATTTTATTAAGTAAATTTGGTTAACAAGAAAACGAAATTCATTATGTTCTGGATATGCTGTGAGACCTGCAAACAAAGAAAACTTGTATGAGATAAATGTTATTCGAAAATATGTAGAAAAGTATTTTAAATCTCTTGTATCTCGCCGGATTGAGGAATATTGATAATGAGAGTAACAATAGCCTCACCTAGACGGGAATTAATATATCCAAATTCAGTTTCAAATTAATACAGAATTAACAGGAATGCTTATATGAATTTGGAACAAAATTATAAATTGACATTAAATATTAACAAGTAAATTCAGGAAATTACCGTTTTAATGCATAATCTTCCTGGAGTTGAAACTCAGAAGTTAAATCTGAAAAAAATAAAAATGAATATTAAGTCCGTTAAATTTTAAATGATTGTTGTTGGTTTGTATTTAATTTATTATCAGCCATCCAAGGAAGTTACAAAATGCGTGGTAATCATGGTTGCGCATTCATAACGCATTGTATCATCATTAATTGTAGAATACTATTAATTTTTATAACTTAAAAAGTTCATATTCACCTTTAATTACGCCTCGCAGCTCAATGTTGACAAACTGTAAATATAAATACATTTTAATATTATATACTAAAGATAAAATATACAATCGTATTACGGATACTTACAATATCATCCTCTTAGAAACTAAAATTAAGATATATATGCTGATAAATAAAATGCATGTTGTTTAAATTATATTTATTACACTATTAACTTGCCATTTCATACAGATATAATCAAATAGCAAGTCAATAGCCACAATGTATGTTTGTTTATCGCTTGCGGCGGAGTTGCAGTGTGTTGCGCCTGATCCAGGCGGCGCGGCGTGATCCTCCCTTGGTTTGAGAGTAACGATGACCCTTGCCAAGACCACGCGAGCTCTTGCCAGCGGATGTAAGACCACGCATCTCACGGTGCTTGTGTACAGCGTTCACGATCCAGTTGATCTTAGGATCGCGGCGAATAGCCTGAAATAATTGAGCTATTAGTATGGAAAAATCTAAATTGTGTACGGATATTAGAGTTTAAAAGTATCAGATATACTGGTAGGTGAGTATTCAGCAAGAATCTTCAGATTGGTGCATGACAAAATGTTCATCATTAAAAATGTAATTAACACGTGGTTGTATTAACTTTTATTTATGTTCTCGGTCTGAAAATTTATGCTATTAATGTTTACCTTGTGTGAAGGATCAACGAGGATCACTTCATAGTATTTGTAGGAGGAATCTTGAGCTACCCAGTATGAGTTAAGTACGCGGAGACCTCCACAACGACGGCCAACACGCTCCTGGGAATCAAATAATATAACATTAAAATCTATTTTTAGGATAATAGGTTATGTATATTAATAACCAGCAATCATGATATACACTAACCTCAGCAATAGACTGTAGGTTGCGGGTTGGTTTCAGTTGGTTGACACCGTGGCTCTTAGGTTTGCCATAAGTGGCTCCCTTAGCGACTGGGCGCTTGCGGCCACCACGGCGAACACGGATTCTGAAGATGACGAAACCTGAAAATTATACTTAGTTTCAGCTACAATACTTTGTAACAAACATTATTAACCTCAAAAAACGTAAATATAAATCTCGAAACCATGCTTTGAAGAAAAAAATTACTAACCTTGTTTAGCGCGGTATCCCAACCTCCTAGCTTTGTCGGGCCTAGTAGGCCTAGGAGCGCGGTGCATGCGAGTCAACTGGCGGTATTGCCAAACTCTGATACGCAAGAGAAAACGCATAACATCGCTCAGCTTTTTACGATACAACTCTTGAATATATCTGTAAGCGCCCATCTTGGCGAGCCTGTGGCAGACCTAGCAACAAAATCAATACAAATTGATCAGAAGTCACATCATCGGTCTGGCCACAGAAAGGGATCACCCTTTCCAAATGACATGCCGTATGGAAATATTCTGGAATCGATGTTATCCGTTAGAATAATAATAAAAATACACGTTAAATCAAGAACTATGTTAAACAAAGACACCAAAACGATAATAAAAAGTGAAATAATTCATATGAAATCTCTGATAAAGTAAGATAGAAATTCACATACGTCTCGCGTACTCCACAGGTAAACCGGAAAAGAGAACTGACAAAATCCTTATTACAATGGAGGACGCTTACTGTCAGAACAAGTTGACGTTGATAGTTTTATTGCCATAGTTATAATATTTTAATAGCTGAAAATTAAGCCACATCTACAATTGCAAAAGTATTGAGATCATTTTTAAAAAATATTTCAATAATGATATTTTTCTTGCTTTTAATTAATAACTTAAATTTTTATGTTATATATGTATAAACCTATAATATAACTCACGTTTTAAAAAAACATTCCCTTTAATATAAAAAAAATCATATTTTAAAGGTAAATTGTCTGCTAAAAATTAATTAACAATTAAGGGATATCATTTGTGATAGAAATCTGTTACGTAACAAAACGAAATGGTTTCTAGTGGTATAAAACGTTCAAAATAGTTTTAAAATTTGTATGAAATTGGCAACATTTATGCAGTTCAATAAATATGATATGATTTACGGTCCTTTCGATTGATGAGCTTCGACGGACCGGACGGGACAACAGAGCTATCCTGAGAAAATTATGGCTTTATGAGAGATAGATATCATAGAGAGTATTTAAAATTAAAATAGCTTAAATGAATCTTAATTTGTTTTCACTTAAATTTTATTCTTGGCTTATATTAGCATTAACAAGACGGAAAAGATTAAATTTTCGTTATGCTACTTGAAGAAGAGGTGATTGAATTTATCGATGAAATTATTAGGAATAGGTGAGTACTTTAAATAATTTTTAAAAATTTATTTAAAAAATTATAAGTACATTTTTTTTGTATATTTTTATTAAATACTTTAACAATACAACTGCCTGTTCATTTTTCTTTATATATAATAATTATAAAGTTAATTATATTTATCTCATGATATTATATATTATTTTTATGAATGGCATTTTAAATTTTCTAGCCCAGATATTTTGCGTAGCAATTTTTAACTTTTTCTAATTGTATAAGTTTTGCATTCAAAAGAATTTTGATGTACTTAAAAATATTCGCAATCGCAAAATACAGACCTTAAAAACGCCATCATGAAAACAAAATTAGATTTTGAGGGTAGGATGAGAAGGAAAGTGTGTATGGTGGTGCATCTGTATTGAATTCTATGCTCAGTCTGAGAAGACTGGTACATTTATATCATACCACAAAAATGGTAGAAGGCGTTTACAGGATCGATAAGTTCCAGGTTTTTCTGCGCATGTCACAAAATAGCGCATGTTAAAATGCCTTCCATCTGTAGGCGTATGGTTTCGCAAACTTATATTACCGAAAATAATTTTATAAAACGAAATGAGTGATTATTTTCATTTAAATGAAAAAGCGAGAGACAATTATATCCTAAATGTTTGTATTTGGAAAGTAATGTACATGTTTCTGGTTTTGTATAGTGTCTGACGGTTATATGGACATAAAATGTATAACATGTAAGCGTCCATTTCTATCGATTAGACGGTCACACTTGATGTATAACAATGCGAGAATATTACTTCAAAGTCTATACGAAGTGAGTAAAATTCATATATATTTGTTCTAAAATGTGCATTTTGTAAGCGCTTTATTTATTAAAATTTTTGCGCTTATTATTATGTTTTTAGGAGAAATTAAATACATGTCCTTTTAGAATTTTGTTATAAAAAAAAATAAAACAAAATATAAATATAAAAATATTAGCAAAAAGCAGAATTGCTGTAATTAACTTACGAAGTCTTTGGAGAATGGGCTATACGCACTTTTTAACCTTAAATAATACCCTTCACATCTAGCTACGAAGTTAAAGTGACGAATGTAATCGATATCTGTATACCCCCTCTATATCCAAGATTTCTGAACGAATACAACGGTTCGATGAATTAAGAACGGCACGCCGCCATCTTGAAAGCGTAATTGTTGTCATGTTTACGTTTATTCATTTGTATGTGAAATAACAATTTATTATTTTTAAGTTGAAAGTGAGTTATAATTATTGTTAAACTTTTATTAAATATTGTAAAGTTTTTGGAGAGAGTGAACTATCTTATAACTATCTCTTTGTATATTATTTATAGGTTGCAATTGGTAAAAAAGTAGAATAGGCGCCAAATTGGCCATAGTCGTTTCGTCAACTAGTGTTTTGTTAATTGGTACCGAGTAAAGAATTACATTATTAAAGCGATAATTATTATTTCCAGAACAGATTTGATGTAACTGTTCACATTAAGTGAGGTGATACAATGTTTTACGCACATTTTGTGCTGGCCAAAAAAGGCCCATTGGCCAAAATTTGGTTGGCGGCTCACTGGGATAAGAAATTAACTAAAGCTCATGTATTCGAGACGAATATTGAGAAGTCGGTGGACGGCATTTTGAAGCCGAAAGTTAAAATGGCATTGCGTACATCTGGCCATTTATTATTGGGTGTGGTGAGAATCTACTCTAGGAAAGCCAAGTACCTACTGCAGGACTGTAATGAAGCCTTCGTTAAGATCAAGGTTAGTTTATAGTTATTGTAGAACAGCCGAACATTAGTTTTGTATATCATTAGTGCTTTGTATTAGTCATAAAAATGAAACATAAGAAAACTTACATTTGTTGTAAGTGCGCTTGGAACAAAGCATTAAAACTTTTTATACCACAAATCTGCAGCAAAATTGTCCTAATGGACTCCCATGATCTTATTGAGGAGGACCAAATACTAAGCATTGTTTTTGCATATTGAAGAGGGTAATTTTCAGATGGCCTTTAGGCCGGGGATGGTGGACTTGCCCGAAGAACACAGAGAAGCAGCCATGAATGCTATTACATTGCCTGAAGTTTTCCACGACTTTGACACAGCTATGCCCGAGTTGAAGTAAGTTTTTGTTGTTTCCAATAAGAGTTAAGTTTTCAATTAAGTTGACTATATTAGATTATACCTAAATGAACAGGCAGTATTGTATTGTTAAAAATTATATTTCTTTCTTTTTATTTCACTAAAAAATTATATTTCTATAGCTCTATATTCAAATCTCTTAATGTTTTGTTTTTATAAAGTACCTTTATAGCTAATTGTGCTTATTTGGGCTTGACAGTCTTAAATGTCCTGATGTTCTTTATAAACTTGTAGTTTTAAGTATAGTATTCATAATAATTTCATTTTTTTTTCAGTGAGGTTGACATTGAGGCACAGTTTTCTCTAAATCAATCAAGAGCTGAGGAGATTACTATGAGAGAGGATTATGGTTCATTGAATCTTGTAACTCATGATGATGGATTTGGTGATATGGGTTTTGATACCGATAACCCTGATATTATGAGAGAAGCGATCGGCAATGAAGGGGGATTAGAACAGGTAATATTCAACCAGCATATAAAAATCATAATTATATATCTTGTTTTAGAATGTCCTAATAATGAGTAATTTCACTTTATAGAGTAATCTGCTGTTTGCCGACGGTTCATCTTTAGAGTTGGGTGGCAAAGACGCAAGTAATAATGCAGGGGTGCCAACATTAGCACCACCATCACACGAGCCGCGAATGGAAGCCGCACCAAATGGACCCATGGATGATGGTTTTGGTGGCACTATTGGAGATGTTGGAGATTTTGGACGTGAGTTTCATTCATATATTAATAAAATTATTATTATGTTAATGATGGTCGTGTTAACATACAATATATGACATTGTAATACAAACTAGTTTTCGTCAGTTCTATTCTTGATTTTTTTGAAATTTTTATTCATATATTAGTATACATACATAGTCAGTGGTGGCCTAGTGGTTAAAGGGCCTCTCGTTGCTGATTGCGCGGGTTCAAACCTGGCAAGTACCAATGTGATTTTTCGGAGTCATATGTACTTTCTGAGAGTATTTAGACGTCACTGAAATATGGTGAAGAGAACATCGTGAGGAAACCTGAACTTATAGTTTCACAATTATAAGTTTGAAATCATCATCCCATCTTGAGCAAGTGTGGTGATTAATGCTCAAACCTTCTCATATGAGAAAGAGGCCTTTGCTCAGCAGTGGGCTCTGATAGGCTGATGATGATGTATTCATACATTAATTTCTTTGAACCCATATATCAAAAATATTCTTACATTATAATATTAAAATGTTTACAGATGTATTCATATGTAATTTCATTACAGATGCTGGTGGATTATTTGAAGGGGATTTGTTTGGTGATGTAACAGCTGGCAGCTCTGCCGGTGGTGCAAACGCTGGCTTACCAGGCACATCAGCACAACCACAGTCATTACAGGTATTTATACTTATATTCAAATGCTTATATTCTAATGTTAGGTATACTCACAATATTGTTCACATATATTTGGGCAGATCCATTAAGACAATAAAATAAATAGTACATTCAGTTTATATACATTTGTTTTAACAAAAATTAAGTTTAAGATAAAGGGGTATTCTAGTATAGGAAAAATCTTATAAGTTTCATTAATGTATTTATTTGTTAAAGGCGGAGATAGAAGCCGCGGGGGGCGTTGGCTCGGAGGCTGCGGATTCAGACGACGATATGCATTATGACGCGCCACCATCACCTCATTCTACCGGCGACGATCATGGAGATGACAGGAGGTCTCCACAACACGAACAACACGGGTATATACATATATATATATATATATATATATATATATATATACACATATATATATACACATATATACACATATACACATATATATACATACATACATGTCATCAGCCTATCAGAGGCCCACTGCTGAGCATAGCCACTTCTCACATGGAGAAGGTTTGAGCATTAATGCTTGCTCAAGATGGATTGGTGATTTCAAACTTAATTGTGAAACTATAAGTCCAGGTTTCCTCACGATGTTTTCCTTCACCGTATGTCAGTGGTGTCTAAATACTCTCAGAAAGTACATATGACTCCGAAAAATCACATTGGTACTTGCCAGGTTTGAACCCGCTCCCTCGACAACGCGAGGCCCTTTAACCACTAGGCCACCACTGAATTACATACTATACAAACATATCGTAATATACCTAAATAGTAAATACATACATACAGACAAACCATCTATTGGTATATAGCTATCATTGTCAGGACTAGTGCATCATGAATTGTCACCTTGATGGGTAACTTAATCTCATATTTAGCTCTCATATAAAACCTTAAGAAACAATTATTTTATTAGATTGTTGACAGTAGTTAAAATGTCTCATTTAAAATTGAGGGTCTATAAGAAAGGCTCTAATCTTAGAGGCAGAATAACAAAACTGTGATGTTTAACACAAGTTGGAATCAAGTGTTTAACGTGTGACGAAATTATAATAATATAATATAAATAGGAATATACATAGGCAGACCCTGGCTAAGCTGGGAATTGCCAGGAAGAAGAAGATAAATAGGAATATACGTATATACATTTTAGACGTCTTTTTATGAAACTTTACAGTAATTGCAATACTTTTGAATTCCTAGACACATCATAATGGAATAACTAGTTAATAGTACATGTGTCACGAAACTAAATATTAAAATTACATATTATAATATATAATTTATTAATTTTATCAGCTGGACGTCACCTCGCGAGGAGGCGAGAGGTGATGATGCATTAATGCCGCCACCCGCGGCACCTAGACCGAGCTCCGTCAGGCCTATGGTAATATTGATATATTTGTTATGATATTTTTTCATTTTTTATATCTTGCTCAAATATTTAGAAGACTTAGAAGATGTATGTAATATCTTTGTAAAAAAAAAATCTCTTAAATGTAAAGAATCACGAATTAACAATGTATAACTATGATGATATTTTAATTTCAATTAATATGTTTGTGATCGAAACAAGCATAATTTCTTATATAATAAAATATTTGTTAATTATATAATTCGTTAGATATATTAAAAGGTATAAAGTTAGTTATAATTCTGTTATCATTTAACAGGAAGTGGATCAAGAAGCGCCAGCGGAGGAGACTCCAAACGAGGAAGCTGTCCCTCCCGCGCCCGCCGTAGAATCTTCAGCTCAGCAACAGAATGATGAAGAATCGTTTGCCTTGGCGCCTGTAGACGCTACTGTTGTTAAAGGTCAGTAATTGTTATCTACTTATTATATATGCAATGAACATACATGCTACGGGATGCACCCATGCATTTTTTTTCTTTGCTATAGATAAAGCACAGTACAAGTTGATTGAAGTAATGTCAGCGTTTCGATACCGAACCGTTTTTAGAACATGGATTTCTTTTTCTGGTCTTAAAATTAAATTTGTGGTCAGATCTACATTTTTATTTGATATCACCATCCCAGATAAGTGGACTATAGAACAAAAACAACCTTGACTATATATATAATATCTCCGAATATAAATTCCTAAGTCGCCAGTATAGCTTTCCGCTCGCTTCGCTCGTTTCTTCAGTAAATATATATTATATAGTGTGATAACAAGACTCAATCATATTTCCAGGTGCACCTAAAACGAAACGCAAGCGCAAGCTTATTGTGGACGACACTAAAAACATATCAGGGGAAGAAATGAAGAATCAATTGAGTAACACATCAGATATATTGATAACTTTGGACTTGGCTCCGCCCACTAGAAGACTGATGCATTGGAAGGAATCTGGAGGGGTAGAGAAATTGTTCACTCTACCCGCTATCCCTATACCCTCCAGAGTACTGTTTAAGGTAAACTTGAATGTTAAACATAATTTATTATACGCAATACATCATCTAACTTGAGATATATTAACGAAATAAAGTATATTACACAAACATACTTATATAGCGATCGTAATATATACAGGGTGACTGGTGAATTACTATCAATATTTAAGGAGAATACTCGGTACATGATTCTCATTCGAATTATGTAAAAAAATAGGCACTTAATTTTTAAAAAAATTTCCGTATAAATAAATAAAGTGTTGACACGTTCCAAGTGTGGACGCGTGCGGCGGCGTGCTGATACAACACCACGCCGCCGCACGCGTATGTGTGAGTGTGTGTGTATACCTAATCTGTAGGGTGTTCACACGATGCGTAATTAATTACATAACTTTTGGTTAACTTTACTTAGAAGTTTATTAATATTTATGTTATATTAATTTTTATTTTGTCATATATGATCGTCAAATATCACGTCCTCAAGTATCGATAATAATTCACCAGTCACCCTGTATAATACTAGCTTTCCGCCAGCAGCTTCGCCCGCGTGGAGTTTCCAAGAGAATCTTTCAAAAGTCTGGGATAAAAACTATCCTATGTTCTTTCTCAAGGTCAACTCCATCTCTGTACTAAATTTCATTAAAATCAGCTCAGTGGTTTAGGCGTGAAAGCGCAACATACAGACAGACAGAGTAACTTTCGCATTTATAATATTAGTGCAGATCTGTTCGAAAATTCATATATTATGAAAATATTTTGCCGACTGTATCAAAGTATACCCCATTTATGGCATTTCTATATATTTTCTAATAATTGATTGTGTTTACTTTACAGAAGTACCAGCAGTATCTACAACAACGTATGGAGCCCGAGCCTGAAGAAGCGGCGAAGTCACCAGACCCCGAACCGCCTGTCGCAAGAAGAGCAGGACGCAAACGAAGACACGATGATGTACTAGTCACTCCTTATATATTTCTTTTATTTACTAATGTTATAAATACATATCTTTGTATATGTACGTAAGTTTGTGAACCATTCACTCAAAAACTAATTGAACTTTAAAGTATAAGCTTTGGTATAAAATTATATTGATAATTATAACTTATGAGCTACATATTCGTATGTTATTTATAGTGTTGTGTTATTTAAATATATTTCAGCAGACAGTTTTCTAAAAGAGACATGTTGCTAATTGACTGTTCCTATATAAACAAAATCATTAAATACATTCTGATATATAATTGACTGATTTTAAGGGTTTGTAAGATTTACATAACCATTATTTGATCATACCTTATTTTTCTCCGTATCATTGGCTTCAAATAAGATGTACTTATATGTAATAATTAATATACTTTATATATTTCTTTTACAGAGTATTCATCCACCCGAAACGCCAGCCGCTCCTCCACAAACAGAATTAGAACCTCCAACTCCGATGCCACAAGAGTATGAACCATCGATTGGTAAGAATGATTCTATGAAACTTCACACAATTCATACGCGACTAATATTCATTTCATCCAATAACAAAAACTATATGGTATTCTTGACAATAACTGTGTATTAAATCAAATGTCGCTTTATCACACGCACTATAATGCTTTAATGTCTAATTGTGAAGCTTTCTTCTAACATGTGTTTAATCTTATGCTTTTCACTAACTGTGCACTAACTAATTAGAGGAAAGAGAACGTACGCCGCCGCAGTCGCCGAGACACGAACCGGACATCGAAGCACCCGGCACGCCAGGTACACACACGTACATATATAATATTGTATATATATACATTTTTATTTACATTCATACAAAAATAATGATATAGGCAGCAAATGTTTGAAATTGTTAGCCTAATATCTTAAAAGTTCTCTTGATGGCAGCCAATGGATTTTTACATTATATATACACACACACATTATACACACATGTACATGCCAACAGACATATATGTACATACATATGTATTTATGTATTTAACAACATTCATCTTACACATGCAGTAAAATCATTTAACTATACTGGTAATTTTAGTATTCTTTTTTGAGAATAATATTGTCTTAAGTAATATTGGAAACTGGGATGGCCACATTAGTCTATAAGCTTTATGTTAATTTAACAAAGGACAATGATTTTGGGGTCTAACATATTTTTTGGTATGCCTCTATCAACTTTGTGACTTGTTTTGTATGTTGTCTTGTATTATATCATTACTTTATAAGGAGTTCATAAACTAAATATTTTTATACATTCACGTTAAATGCAAACACCAATAGAATTTATAATAGTATTATTTAAAGGAACTATCTAACAAAATATGTGATAATAACTCTAAACTCTGTAAAACTGTCTTCCATTAAAAATTCATAATAAGAAAAAAATCTTTATTATTTTTCTATTATATTAACTGCCTCTAAAAGCTATTTTCTGTATTTGAGCCTTCTGTACATACATATGTATATAAATATAGTAAATTAGCGAGTTTCACATAAACATTAGTGTAATGTTGAAAGGACCTTACTTGAAATTTTTATTGTGATGTAAAAGTGGACTTATATATAATAATTATTACTATTATTATTATTTTTATTATAGGTATGCTGTCATCTTTGGGTGCTCCTCTCACGCCAGGCGGCCTGGGTCCTTTAACTCCCGGTACATTACTTCAAGGTGGCATCACGCCTGGCAGTTTACCACATGGGGCTATGACACCAGGTATATCATACAAATAACTGTTCGATAAATTTAAGCTTAAATGAAACTAATATTTTTCGGATACACTACGGGAATTTATTGTTGATAATTACTACATACTCCCGACGTTTTGGCTACTTTTCAACAACCATGATCACGGGCAGACGAGATATGAGATGTAATTTATATCAAAAATAAAGCCGCGTAGTATATTCGAAAAATATTAGTTTCATTTAAATGAATAATACTCGCGAAAATCTTAGATGTCATTAAATTTAAGCTTATTTAAAAATACCCTCAGGAATTTAGTAGAAATTTCTGATTCATTATATTTATTAATAGTAGAACTTTTAATGTTTAATGACATGAATTATTGTTCAAATAGAAATTCCTAGACTGAAAAATTTTTCAACCTGCAAATAAAAGTAATAACATGATATTTCATATGTGGCAGGATGAGTCCTGCTTATGTTCCAGAATTTTTTTCATACTTTATATTTCTATGAATGCAATAATCTAATTTTTCCTCTCATTTTGTTTAAGCTTAAATATCACTTATTTTTTTTTGAATTTCTAACAAATGTTTAAATTTGAAGGGGGTTTGACACCCGCGGGACTGCACCATGGAGATCAACCGGATCTTGGTTTGCATTCTGGTATGAACAATTTGTATTAATAAAAATATTATTCATTACTACATTTTTGTTCTAGAATAGTCTACTTGTAACTCTCCAAATAAGAGATATGTAAATAAAAAAAAAAATTGTAGTGATAGTGTTTGACTTTTGTGTTCAATAAAACAAACACTAATTGTGTATGTCACATTGTAATAGGTATGATGGCTGTTCTAGATTAGTCTACTTTTAACTCTCCAATTAAGATATATTATGTAAATAAAATAATTGAAATCTTAGTCATAGTTGTTGACTTTTGTGTTCAATAAACCAAACACTAATGTCATATTGTAATAGGTATGATGGCTGGTGGAATGACTCCCGGCGGTATGACTCCGGGCTTAGGTTTAGACGGTGGTATGACACCGGCTGGGTTACATCATGCTTCAATGACACCAGGTTTGATATAGTTTTTAATATACAGGGTGACTGGTGAATTACTATCGATACTTGAGGACGTGATATTTGACGATCATATATGACAAAATAAAAATTAATATAACATAAATATTAATAAACTTCTAAGTAAAGTTAACCAAAAGTTATGTAATTAATTACGCATCGTGTGAACACCCTACAGATTAGGTATACACACACACACGCGTGCGGCGGCGTGGTGTTGTATCAGCACGCCGCCGCACGCGTTCACACTTGGAACACTTGGAACGTGTCCACACTTTATTTATTTATACGGAAATTTGGTCAAAAATTAAGTACCTATTTTTTTACATAATCCGAATGAGAATCATGTACCGAGTATTCTCCTTAAATATTGATAGTAATTCACCAGTCACCCTGTATAGAGAATATTTAATATAAAATATTTTTATCAATAAACTAAAATTATGTTTGTTTGGCTACAAAGCACTTAGATGTTGAAATCCACTAGAAACTTTTTTGTTTTTACGGTTGTTCATTTAATATGTAAAGAATTTTGGTTATGTATAACCATCTTGTGTGTATTATGTGACTGATGTAACTATGATAAAAGTGCCTAAATACAAGTAAAATATCAGTAATAATATTGTTATTTCTCCTAGGGGGTCTTGATCACGGTGGTATGACACCAGGTGGTCTCGGTCATGGTGGAATGACACCGACGGGTCTCGGTCATGGAGGTATGACCCCAGCCGGTCTTGGTCACGGCGGTATGACGCCTGCTGGGCTGAGTCACGGTGGCATGACCCCTGCGGGATTAGGTCACGGCGGCATGACTCCCGCCGGCCTTGGTCACGGTGGTATGACCCCTGCTGGACTCGGTCACGGCGGTATGACCCCGGCTGGACTACAGCACGGTGGTATGACACCTGCTGGGTTGCAACACGGCGGTATGACACCTTCAGGTTTGTATTGCAGAAATTACACTTATTACATCCATAATATGTTAGAAAATTTTTAATCAAAATGGATCCAAATAATTCATGAAATGGAAGGTACAATTTTGATATACCACATCCAAACACTTTAAATATCATATTTTTATAGATTCTGATAATTGTTTAATAAAGTTTCGATATATAAAATACACATATATAACTCTAACATGTCTATCTTTCACAGGGTTGCAGCACGGCATGCTGCAACATGGTATGGAGTTGCCGATGATGCCGCAGATGGGTGGCGAGCACCCGCTGCTGTCAGCAACACCGCTGGCGCACCATCAGCACTCGCACGACCTACACACAGCACCCATGGACCCGCTGCCGTTGCCTCTAGATCACCCTGATTATCAGGTATGAGAGGATAAATCAATAATACATACAGATTTATATAATAACTAGCTGCGCCCCGCGGTGTTTTCCGCGGATTTCCGGGGTGTAAAGTAGCCTATGTGTTATTCCTGGACGTCAGCCTCCTGTATACAAAATTTTATCAAAATCGCTTCAGCCGTTTGAGCGTGAAGAAGTAACAAACATGCACACACACTCACAAACTTTCGCAATTATAATATTAGTAGGATAAATACTATATACATAGCTATTTCCAGGTGAAGGGTGAACTATCACTGGCTATGTATTTATTTTCTTTGTAAAATATATGTATTAATAATACTTTGAAAATAATCAAATATATAAGTTTATTATTAACAAACAGAAAATTGCACAAGATATAGAACATGTCATTCATATACATAATTTATATATTAAAATTATACATTATTAAAATGCCTGTTTATTACAGAGTGGCATGCAAATGACTAATCTAGGATACGATGACAACAACGGCCAGCAGAGTCCGCAACATGATTACGACTTACCGCTCAGTGTTGAAAATGTAAGCATTAATATAGTTTAAATACTAATATAAGTTATGATTTGCTTTAAAAAAATCCTTCAACTTGCCATGGTTAAATTTCTTTTAAGCTATGACCAGAATGACTTATTGCATTTTCATACAGTAAATAAATTAAAGGGACAAAATTAAATGAATGTATATAAAATTATGCCGTTTATATTCAAAAGTGAAGTATAAAGATTTTAACATGTTACACAGAATAAATAAACTTCATTAATTACTATAAGTAATTGTATAGTTGACTTGTTAAAACTATCATTCTTCTTCTACCTGGCAATTTCCCGGCTATAGCCAGGGTCTGCCTTACTTGTTGTAAATAGTTTTGGCTAATTTTTTTTACGACCGGCCGCCTCCCTAACATCAACCCTCTTTTGGGAATCAGCATTAATCAGTGATGTCTAAATATTCTTAGAAAGTACATATGACTCGGAAAAATCACATTGGTACTTGGCCGGGCCAGGATCGAACCCGCACTCTCGGCAACGAGAGGCGGGCCCTCTAACCATTAGGCCACCACTTGATCTTGTTAAAACTATCATTATATTATATGAACTTTTTATTATCTCTAGCCGGAGGAAGGTGGTAGTGATGCTCGTGAGGCTGGTGAAACGGAGGAACAGTTTGAAGAGCGTGTCCTTAATAGAAGGGCTGCACAACTGTTCGCTGTAATGAGGCCCAAACTGGCTGCAGGCTTGATGCTAGCCTTCACTGACTTAGCACCGAGACATAATAATAGGAAGCAGGTATGTTTAGTTTAATATAGGAGATAAGTGTGAATTTAGGTGAACTTCTATCTAATAAATTTATAGGGTTATGATGTTTTGCGTATATTTATAATTATGTTGCCTGAGGATTTAGGTATCTTTATAGTAAAGGATATACAGGAGGATTTTGATATCTTTATATTCAAGGAGATACATGAGGATGTAGGTATCTTCTATAGGATATAAATGAGGATTTAGGTACATTTATAGTAAAGGATATACATGAGGATTTAGGTAAATTTATAGTCAGGATTTTAAGCACATATTTAAAAAAACATGAGGAGCTGAGAAAATTAAACATATATTTTTATAGTTAAGATTGTAATCGAATTATAAGATATATATAATAACAAACAAAATATTTCAATTTTAGCTGTAAACAATAAGCATATAAATGTGGGATCAATTAACTAATGTATGGTTAAAAACAATTAGTTAATAAGTTATTCCCTCTTTTTTATAACTGTTATTCTAGCCAATAGATAACATTGTTAACATAACCTTATGAATTAAGATGAAAAAATGCTTGTGAAATTCTCAATAATATTAAAAGCAGATTATGGGAAACCATTGCATACACATTGTCATATGAAGTGTATTAAAACATTAATTTATTTGGAAACCCAATAATGATTTGTATGAAAATTACATATGTACGATCAACATGTTTATGAAAAGTGTTTAAATTACATATAAAGGGAATTTGCATGATTTTTTTAAACATATTTCAATTTAATATAAGTGGAGTATATTATTTCGGAACTAAGATAATAATCGATGGCAATTGTTGTTTCGACAACGTTAATATGGGTGATTTATTATATACCAACTAGTGGCGCTTTTCAAGTTATTTAACTTAGGTAGGTGGCTTTGAATTTTGATCGTAGAAAAACCGGTTTATTCATAAAATAGTATGAAGGATTTTTTTTATGACAATTTCTCGTTAAACATTCATAGGACGTTATAATTATATTTTATTTTTTCTTCTATTTTTTTTAAATATACATGTAACATAACTTTCTATAATTATATACTTTTTATTTGATCTGTTTTAATTTTTATTTGTATTATTATTATATATATATTTTGTTTATTCCTTCTTAGGTGGCGCAAAAATTCTACAGTTTACTAGTTCTCAAGAAGCATCAAGTGCTAAAGTTAGAACAAAACGAAACATATGGACCTATCACAGTTTCCAAAGGCCCACAGTTCGAAACGGATTCTATATAATTTATAATAACACTATAATATTAAATTATAATACAAATGGTGACTCGGATTTGGTTGAGCCAAACAAGTGTGTTATTCGAGTTTGTAGACATTTTGGACCAAATATGTATAGTGTTGTAATGCAATTAAAAAGGCTGGGTTTTATTGTAGGCGACTTGGACATTCAATGAGAAAAAAAGGGATTTTATGTAGACAAAAGGTTTTAAATATGTTTTGCATGAGAACAAATTATGTGGGGGATAATCATGTCATCAATATAGGGAAAAAAAATCAATAATTTCTATGAACTCGAATGTATGTAACATGAATATATGAAAGAAATGCCTTAATTCGTTTGCTGTAGCTGTAAGATATGTTAAATGAAGAAATTTTAATTGTTTATTAGCTTTTCATTTGATAGAAATTTACTATTGTGAATATTTAATGTTTAAACGATAACACTAACTTAGAATCCATGGTTCACTTGTTTTATGAGTCTGATTATATATAACATCACTTCATTCCATTATTACATAACACATTGTGATAGTGTTATGAATCATGAAATGTGATTTAAGAGGTGTCCGCAACAAAAATATCATTGGGTGTCGAGCGGAATGAAAATTAACAGACTTATTGTTGTGTTGGATATAAAAAAGAAATATGTAAATTATGTGTAAAATATCGGTTAAGTGGATAAAGGGATGACTTGTAGTGATAGAGATTTTGTTTAACTGGATCTAACAAAGCAAATGTACAAGTAGGGTTAATGTACTCGGGAACACCAAAAATCATGCAGACATTGTCTCTAACCAGAATAATGAAATATATTTACATGTTTATTACTATATTGTTGTGAGTGAGTGAATGAATGGGTTTTTTTTTATTTGGACGTAGATTTTTTTTTCAAATTGTATGATTGATTGTAAAATTATTGTAACGCATTCAGAATGCCTGGAACTGTTTAAGTGTATTAAGATTTTTTTTTTTTTGTAATTTAATCGTGTGCTTTCGCCGTTCATTGCGAAGGAACTCGTTTAGATGATAATCATTAATATTTTTTTTGTAATAAATCTGTTGATAATATTTTTTTTATTATTTTATTTTATTTTATAACTCCCTACTATGTTGTCAATTACTTGTACTGCCAGTGACATTTACCTTTTTTTAAATTAAATTTCATTTGATTTTTTTTATTTTATTAATTACAATAAAAAATACTAGAATGCGTTCAAGTATTACGTAATGTGGGTTGGCATTTGTCATATAGCTATTCATTAAATACACAAGTTTTTAGCTTGAACATCTGTAGTTTGAAAGTCTTTGTTTTTTTATACGAAACGTTGAGCTAAAGTATGAAATAAATAAATAATTTTAATAATATTTTCTAATAAGTAATGTAATAATAAACAAATCAGAAATGCGAAATGAATGAAAATACTATGCATAATAATTTTATGCAAACATTAAAAAATATTTTTATAAATAACTTTAAATAACCGAAGTGTGGTTTGATTGAAGCCACCGCAAGTCACTCTTGTTGTTTTGCATCTTAGACATTAAACTGAATATATTAGTAAAATAGTCGATTTAAGTTATCCAAATGACCTTCTCAATTTTAATTTGATTTCAAATCTGTGAGCACAATATTAAATCACCGACAAAAATAATCGAGTAACGCGAAACTCCTGGTAGAGAGAGTGAGAATATAAAAGCTATACGGTCAGGTAATAATATGAGCCAGTTACGATGAAACATTGACCTTATCTACTTTGAAGAGTTCTTTACATTTGTCAAACCTCCCGGGCGACTGTAATGCGACATGCGATAAATTTTAAAAATTTTGAGGCAAAGTATTAAATGTTTCAATTATTAATTCAGTAACTATTATAGACTTAATCAGTGGCGGCTGTACCTTAAGTGCGCCCGTGCGCTGAACCACCAATTCAAAATATTTAAAAATTACAAAATATTATGTCATCTTAATTTTTAAATTACCATTTTAATATTTATTTTTTAAACATACAAAAAGGTATAAAAAATTTAATTTCCAATTATGGTCAAAAAGTTTGAGCGCTTTACTAAACTCATATCGTGCGCTCCGGCGAGTGCACGAGGACTGCTAATACATCTTGTATGAGACACGCATCAATACGCCTGGCGCGTGAGACAAAAGATAGTTCACAGAAACGTACCGAGTAATGAGTCGGTTCTCGAGCGCCGCACGGCCGAAGGTCACCGAGAGCACCCGATGTATGACGTATTGAGCCGGCCGGCAAGGGGCCGGCCGAAAGGATGGCTGCTATGATTGACATTTCGTTAATCGTTATTGGTATTGTTTCAACTTTCACTGTATGCGTGACGCGTTAATTCGTTATTGTTTATAATTATTTCCGTAATTCGTTTTAGTTTTTATTTCGTTTCTATAATAGAACTTTTATTCTGTACTGTGTTTTTTATTAGTTGAAAATGAGTATAAAGAAATTGATTATATTAAAGAAAATAACAAAATTTTTCAAAGTAAAGTGAACATAAAATTGGCCGGGCCGCCACGGCCCTTTTTAAATTTAAAACAAGAGTGTAAATCGAAAAATAAAGCGTTTATACGAAGTTTTAAAAGTGAAATGTATAATAGAAAGAAATAGTTGTGTGGATGTGAGCGTCTTAATACATTCTTTTGTTTTCCTTGCATTATTTTTGGCGGAGAATCGATTTGGACAGAAACTGGAATCAGATTTTAATAAAAAGGTGATAGAACATTTCGCTACAGAAAAATGTCGTCGCATTGATTTAATGTACAAAAAATAAACATATTTTATGTCAATTGTTGTTTTTGTCAATATTTTAGTAAAGTGAACCACCAGTTCGATAACCCACCAGCCGCCACTGGACTTAATTATCCCCAATATGTTGTTATTATAATTTCGTTATGAAACAAGTATTAAAGTGCGTCTAGTTTGAAATTTTCTGTTAAAACCTTTTGGTGTTTTTCATCTTTTATTAGTACGAAATAAATTGTTTTACGAAATAAATTGTAAAATGTTGAAAACGGAATGTCAAGTGAATAAGAATTTGTAGTTTTTTCAAAATTCTTAGTAATCAATAATTTTTTTTCCTCAATATTCAAAATATTTCCATCTGGACGTTTACAAGTTTTGCTTATTTTATAGCACTTATGTTATGTATCTATTTAAATTATATTAAAATTTTATTCTAAAAGTTTTTTGTCTAACTCTACTTTTACTTTCACTCACACAAATGCAAAGCTCAGCTTAAATCTAACGGACTATACCTAATGAGTAGATATGATTACGTACATCACTTCTCAAACTTGCAAAATAAAAGATTTTATACGCATATATTTTCTTGAAATAAAAATTAAAACAGCAGTATATATTCCAGTACCTACAGCCTATACAAAAGAATAAAAAATTAAAGTAAATGCTAGATTTCCTTGTCTTTTCAATTTGTTCATACTTAAAGAAAATTTTCTGTCCTTTTGTGAGTCTTAATAAGTATTTATTAAGACTCACAACAGTTTCTCGGATAACGTAGTAGGTAATCATTAACAAAATCTTGACATTATTTTCCTTAAAAAAATAAATTAGAAAATATACAGTGAAAAATTCATCGACAGGAATCTAAATAAAAATAATATTTTCGCATGAACTATCGTGTTTTTTTTATTATTTTAAATAACATACTCCCGACGTTTCGGTTACTTTGCAGTAACCGTGGTCACGGGCACGTGACAAAAATATCTGTGAGTTGGTCTTGTTATTTATCATCTATTTCCGACCATTTCTTAGTTTTCACTAAAGAAATTAAGAACATTGAAATTTCAATAGAGAAGATGGCTGGCATCTATCTAACACCTGGGACATTAAAAATATATAATCCCATATCCGTGACCACACCGCAGGACCTCGAGACACAGTAAGCGCATTCTGCCGGCATACAGAGCGGTACGCCAGAAAACTAAGAAATCGTCGGAAGTAGATGATAAGTAATAATAAGAAGACTAACTGACAGATATTTTTATCTCCAGTGCCCGTGACCACGGTTACTGCAAAGTAACCGAAACGTCGGGAGTATGTAGTTTTTCACAAAAATAAGCCGCATAGTATATCCGAAAAATAGTAGTTTCATTTACATAAACATACTTCCAAAAAATTATTACTAGCGATAGCGATCGTCAACTTGTCAGGTTTTAATAATATAATTCTATTTGAAATTAGCAAAATGATAAATAAGGCGAAATTTCACAATTTTGCGGAATAAAAGCGATCAAAACTCCGGGTCTTAAATCGTCGACAAATAATACTAATACTAATAATAATAATCCCCTCTAATTATTATTAAAAGACTAGTTTTTGCCCGCGACTTCGTCCGCGTTAGTTTCGTCATTAGTAATATATGTATAGCTGACCGAGTGAACTCTATTCCGTTTTAGAGGCCATTAATAATCAGGTTTCTCCTGTTTCAATCGAAGAGAATGATTGACATATTAGTTAGTTGTCAAATCTAATGTCAAAAAAAACGTTTGTATGGGAAATAGAAAAGGGCAGTTTTTATGGTTTTCCCAGTAATGAATCAATTTTTTTCAACTTTTATACCTTCCCTGAACCTCCACGAACATTTCAAGACTAAGATAAGATAAATCCGTTCAGCTGTTCTCGAGTTTTAGCGAGACTAAGGAACAGCAATCCATTTTTATATATATAGAAGACTACTGAGAGCTAAAATAAAATTTCTATAAAATACCATTGTTCTTGGCAGTGATAGTGATATTATAGTAACACTTTTTTCAAAAATACGAAATAACGGTTTTAAGTTTGAAAATCTAAACACTAAATATATCATTACAAAGAGGAAAAATAAATAAAAAAAGTTACGAAACTTTTCAGTCTTTGCGTTTATGTTAGCAACACTCTTCTTTTGGTTCAAGGGGACATCATACATCGTCTACATTGTATGCTATTTTATTTAATTTTCGTTTACAATATTATTCAGTAAATAAAAGTAAAGCGCGCTCTTACTGAAATTCAAATGAGATATATAGAGTATTCATAGATGGTTATTTGGGATTTAGATTAGCTTTAATATGTATATTGTGCAAATATGTATATTGAAACAGTGAAGGCCAAAATATTCAAAAATTGTGTTACGTAATACTTGAATGCCCTTTAAATAGTATAAATTTTTTATTAATATTTTATTTTAGTTCCAGCACAACCAGTATTTTTTATATTCACATTATATTCAACCATTACCAACCATTGAGTTTTAGAGAAGTACAGTCCTTTTCATGAAGGAAGTTCCCTAAATACACCGCTGTAATCGTGAGACATAATGTTGCCATATATTAGAACAAAATTTACCTATTTAACATTTAGCATATATAATTTATAAAATAAGACTTTCGTGCTTACTTCGATGAAACAAAATAAGCTGTTAAATTATATTAACACTAGATGGAATGTAATTTCATTTTTTTTCATTATGCACAACGTAAAACCTGCGAATTTTTCGCCGAATAGCGCACAAATCGAAGCCTTCTAAGGCCTCGGCCTCGAATTTTGCGGGCAGCGGAGCGGCAGGATCTTACGCGTATAATCAAATGGACCAACCCTCGAATACAGCGGTGCCCGCTGCCCGCTAGTTTGGAGAACAGTATGCGTTTCCGTGCCGCCGCCGCTGACGCTCCGCTGCCCGCAAAATTCGAGGCCGAGGCCTTAGTCTAACTTTTTCGGATGCGGAGGACTTGCCCAGGGTGACATTTTTTTCCAAGTGTTAAACGCTGTGACGCCTAATGTAATTCTTGTTATAATTTTCTCTGAAACTTTTACAATTAATTCATGAACAATTTAAAATAATAGTAACTTTAAATTTATAGTGCTTTATGTACAATGTAATATGTTTCAATTTCAGTTATCTAGTTTCATCACTTTATGTATTTATTCAATTTGGTCGCAGAAATGAATTTATATCATACAAGTTCCATCAATACATCAAAAATATATTATATGGCATCTCTAAACAGCACCTGTTATGGCGAAAGGCTCAAAAGGAGTCGCATCCAGAGCTGTAGAAACATTTACAAAGAAAAACACCTGTTATGACGGCGACTCTCTGTCGAATATTGTTTAGAGATATTAATGCCTAGATTCTTTTGTTACGCTTTACTGAACTCTTTCACCTTTAATAAAATTTCTTGAGCTGAATTTTACTACAGCTTTTGGCATTGTAAAAAATCTTTAAAACATCGACAAGAGAACATGGCCGCCCTGTCAAATTTAGTTTCAAAAATCACCGCGGGTCTTCTTTCATGAAAAGGACACACGTGTCATTGTTTAAATATTTCTGTAAATATCTCGTTCAGAAATATTATATTAGCATAAAATTAGGACTTCTTTTCTTTAAGTTATGAGTTTCTTTAGACCACGATCTGCAAAGATTTAATTTTTAATTTACTATAAAAAATTGATAAGAGATGAAGCAAAACCATTCTAATTAATGTATAGTGTAGTAATAATTGTGAAATATAATTATATGTTTATAGTTTTGAATCTAGAGACTTTGTTATTTACCTAATACCTGTTTAACATTATGTATATCTATAATATTTTCTTCAGAAAACTTCCACATTGACTGTTATAAAAGTTAAAACCATCAAAGTATTGCTATCTCCGAACCCTATAAAGAACATTTTATATATTTTGTTTTCAAAGCTGTCATGTGGAGATAATTATCAAAATTTAAATATTATTATCAAATAACATTTTTATATTCATTAAACATTCAGAATTCATTTTTTATAATTCTCTAGAATTTTATTTGTGTCATTTTAATATGATTGACTTTTTGTTCGAGGGTTGGGCTCTTTTGCTTATTTTTTTTTAAACCTTTATAAAATAGTAAAAGTGACATCAAAATGAAAAACAAAAAGATTTGTGGGAACTCGTACGAAAAACGGCTGTACATTTTTTACTCTATTTTTTATACGAGAAAGTAAATTGCGTATATTTTTATATATCGCTGAAAATAAAATTAATATAAATAACGTAGATTATTCATGAAGATTTTCATAGTAGGTACGTTTTGTGTAGTAGAAAGTTATAGTGTTCTTCTCGTCATAAAAAATCCGTTTTTATTTCTATTCAATTGCTTGGTGCCTTAGAGTAAGTAAGAAAAAGATATGAGTTACAATGAGAAAACTCCTCGAACATCATTTTGTAAAAATCAATAATACCTTTTATGTTGCCTACTTCCATTATTTTAATTTGTATCTATGAAATTAACACTGTTGACAAATTCCAATATCATCAAATACATCGTTAACATTTTTGTATTAATTGTTTAAAAATGATTTGTTTTGTACGATAACAAAACGTTGTTCTATCGAATCTTAAGGTTTGTTTTAAATGTAATGTACCTAAATTATTATTTTAATCTGTATATATGTACGTAGAATACGATGTTGCAGGCAACTTTATTTGATTTAGTCTTTTTTTTTACTGCAATTCTTATTATTATTATTTACATTTCATATTTTTCGTATAACGTAATGGTAGAGGTACATATACACTTACATGTTTTGTAAAAATTACCTACAAAGAAGGCGTCTTGTCCTTATTGTTACATAATATGTATAAAAACTATTAAACTTGTTGTAAGCATACAGTTGTCTGCAACATATATTATACTTCTGCGAATTCTTAATCTTTTATTTCTTAATCTTTTTTTTTGTAGTTCCATTGAAACTTTCATTCATAAAAGTGATGTCAATGTAATATATAAATATAGATTTGTAAATATTGTACAATTTATATAAATTTTCTTAGACTTTGTTTTGTTTTCATCCTAGTAATTCCTATGTACAAATAAGACCTATTTTTAGGTAACGTAGGAATTAATAGGTGATTCAACAATATATATTGTGGTATTAAAAATGTACATTAAACTAAGGTAGATGTAAGCACGAAAGGAATGTTTTTGTTACTGTTATTGTTTTCTTATTTATAGACAAGATAAAATAGTTTAATTTGTACACTCTCATAAAAAATGTGTAATAATAGTCATTAAAATTGAGTTTCTGTATTTCTGTTATATTTTCAAATAAATACATGAACCTAGTAGGAGAGAAAAAATGTACAATAACCTCTAGGTTCCTATGTTCCACAAACATTTAAGTACTTCAATTACTTGTGTTTGTAAACCGTAAGAATCTGGAGGTAAATTACATCGATGGAGCTTGAAACTTGAAGAATTTCTTTGGAGGAATAGTATTTATTATTTCAAACGCGGCAAACGAACAGACGGGCGACTTTATTTAAAGTAGACCATCGCCCATGGACATCTGCAACATAAGGGATGTTGCGGATGCGTTGCAAACCTTGATTGTGGAAGAGAGAGAGGAAAGGATTGGGAAATATCAAATAGGCAAAGGCATCTCTCACTTATTAGACAAAACAGCAGTCGTAAAAGACTACTTCACGCTGATCTTCTATGAGAAGGAGGCACTGTCCCGGTATGCTCATATTCGAGCCGTAATTATTTGGCCACAGCTAGGCTCTACTACCATTATCAGTATGTTTTAATTTCTTTTTATAGACACAAAAGCGTGTATCTATCTTATTCAAGATAGTATAAATACCATTATTTTAAAACGACATTGTGCTAGGATTCCAGAAATAAGATAAACAGACATTCAAATAATTTGACTTTTTAACAATATAATTTAAAATATAGCAATTTTAAAATCTTGCCATTTTATACATAAAGTGCTGAATGAATTGTACAGAAAAAATCAGATTTCGCCCGGCAATTAAAAAGTGTGTAATCTTTGTCCAACCGTATTATTTAAAGACATACTAAGTTATATAAATGTTATACATTTTTTTACTATTGCAAAAGACGAGAAATAATTTATTAAAACAAAGAGACATTTAAAAGAAAATATCGCTTCAATAAATAATTCTTAAGACTTACTACAAATCATCCTTCAAAACAACCGTGGGAGACTTAATTTGTTTTATTCAGAACTGAAATGAATTTAGTTTTTATTAAATAACTCAATCGATTTTTCAATTATTTACTATATACATAATTACTATCATTTCTTTATTCAACAATTATTAAACTTCCATAATCCTTGTTTGTGAATCCGTGGTCTACAATTGGAATGAAAATAAATCACACCGGGCTTTAAGAAGAACATTCAAAGAAGAAAATGACCCACTTCGTTCCCATGTTCCACAAACATAGGCAGTTCTATTTCCTGTGTTTGTGGACCATAAGAATGAGGGGGTCTTTACATGGCATGGAAAGGAACAAGGACCCAAACAGAAAAGCTGAAACTTTTTAGATTATGTTTGTCTGTAAATTATTAAATATATTAGTGTTACTTTATTTCTTCGAAAGAACAATAATTCAGTATATGTGTGCTTCTTGAAAAAGTTTTAAGATAAGATGGATTTATTTTGGAAATATGTTTAATAAGAAATAATTAAGTATTCGGCTTAAAGCGAAGAAGTGGAACGTATATTCCGGGACCTACTTCGTTCCCATGTTCCACAAACATAGGCATTTGTATTACCTGTGTTTGTGGACCATAAGAATGAGGGGGTCTTTACATGGCATGGAAAGAAACAAGAATCCAAACAGAAAAGCTGAAACTTTTTAGATTATGTTTGTCTGTAAATTTCTAAATACATATATTAGTGTCACTTTATTTCTTCGAAAGAACAATTATTCATTGATTCAGGCACAATATTGGAGGGTAACAACTATTCAATAAAGGTTTGGTTACATTTATATATGTTTTCAGTATCATGTTATCATTACATTTACTGTATATGTGTGCTTCTTGAAATAGTTTTAAGATAAGATGGATTTATTCTTGAAATATGTTTAATAAGAAATAATTAAGTATTCGGCTCAAAGCGAAGAAGTGGAACGTATATTCCGGGACCTACTTCGTTCCCATGTTCCACAAACATAGGCATTTGCATTACCTGTGTTTGTGGACCATAAGTATGAAGTGGTCTACTCTTGGAATGAAAACAAATCACACCGGGCTTTAAGAAGAACATTCAAAGAAGAAAATGACCCACTTCGTTCCCATGTTCCACAAACATAGGCAGTTCTATTTCCTGTGTTTGTGGACCATAAGAATGAGGGGGTCTTTACATGGCATGGAAAGGAACAAGGACCCAAACAGAAAAGCTGAAAATTTTTAGATTATGTTTTTCTGTAAATTATTAAAAACATATATTAGTGACACTTTATTTCTTCGAAAGCACAATAATTCAGTATATGTGTGCTTTTTGAAATAGTTTTAAGATAAGATGGATTTATTCTTGAAATATGTTTAATAAGAACTAATTAAGTATTCGGCTCAAAGCGAAGACGTGGAACGTATATTCCTGGACCTACTTCGTTCCCATGTTCCACAAACATAGGCAGTTCTATTTCCTGTGTTTGTGGACCATAAGAATGAGGGGGTCTTTACACTGCATGGAATGGAACAAGGACCCAAACAGAAAAGCTGAAACTTTTTAGAATATGTTTTTCTGTAAATTATTAAATACATATATTAGTGCCACTTTATTTCTTCGAAAGAACAATAATTCAGTATATGTGTGCTTCTTGAAATAGTTTTAAGATAAGATGGATTTATTCTTGAAATATGTTTAATAAGAAATAATTAAGTATTTGGCTCAAAGCGAAGAGTTGGAACGTATATTCCTAGACCTACTTCGTTCCCATGTTCCACAAACATAGGCATTTGCATTACCTGTGTTTGTGGACCATAAGTATGAGGTGGTCTACTCTTGGAATGAAACGAATCACACCGGGCTTTAAGAAGAACATTCAAAGAAGAAAATGACCCACTTCGTTCCCATGTTCCACAAACATAGGCAGTTCTATTTCCTGTGTTTGTGGACCATAAGAATGAGGGGGTCTACACTTGAAATGAAAACAAATCACACCACTCTTTAAGAAGAACAGTCCAAGAAGAAAATGACCCGCTTCGTTCCCATGTTCCACAAACATAGGCAGTTCTATTTCCTGTGTTTGTGGACCATAAGAATGAGGGGGTCCTTACATGACATGGAAAGGAACAAGCACCCAAACAGAAAAGCTGAAACTTTTTAGATTATGTTTGTCCATAAATTATTAAATATACATTAGTGTTACTTTATTTCTTTGAAAGAATAATAATAATTCATTGATTCAGGCACAATATTGGAGGGCAACAACTATTAAAAAAATTTTTGGTAACATTTATAAGGGTTTTCAGTAAAGTTATCATTACATTTACTGTATATGTGTGCTTCTTGAAATAGTTTTAAGATAAGATGGATTTATTCTTGAAATATGTTCAATACGAAATAATTAAGTATTCGGATCAAGGCGAAGACTTGGAACGTATATTCCGGGACCTACTTCGTTCCCATGTTCCACAAACATAGGCATTTGCATTACCTGTGTTTGTGGACCATAAGTATGAGGTGGTCTACACTTGGAATGAAAACAAATCACACCGGGCTTTAAGAAGAACATAACCAAGAAGAAAATGACCCACTTCGTTCCCATGTTCCACAAACATAGGCAGTTCTATTTCCTGTGTTTGTGGACCATAAGAATGAGGGGGTCTTGACATGGCATGGAAAGGAACAAGGACCCAAACAGCAAAGCTGAATCTTTTTAGATCATGTTTTTCTGTAAATTATTAAAAACATATATTAGTGTCACTCTATTTCTTCGAAAGAACAATAATTCAGTATATGTGTGCATCTTGGAATAGTTTTAAGATAAGATGGATTTATTCTTGCAATATGTTTAATAAGAACTGATTAAGTATTCGGCTCAAAGCGAAGACGTGGACCGTATATTCCTGGACCCACTTCGTTCCCATGTTCCACAAACATAGGCAGTTCTATTTCCTGTGTTTGTGGACCATAAGAATGAGGGGGTCTTTACATGGCATGGAAAGGAACAAGGACCCAAACAGACAAGCTGAAACTTTTTAGATTATGTTTGTCTGTAAATTATTAAATATATTAGTGTCACTTTATTTCTTCGAAAGAACAATAAATCATTGATTCAGGCACAATATTGGAGGGTAACAACTATTCAATAAATTTTTGGTTACATTTATATGGGTTTTCAGTATCATGTTATCATTATATTTACTGTTTATATGTGCTTCTTGAAATAGTTTTAAGATACGATGGATTGATTCTTGAAATATGTTTAATAAGAAATAATTAAGTATTCGGCTCAAAGCGAAGATGTGGAACGTATATTCCGAGACCTACTTCGTTCCCATGTTCCACAAACATAGGCAGTTCTATTTCCTGTGTTTGTGGACCATAAGAATGAGGGGGTCTTTACATGGCATGGAACGGAACAAGCACCCAAACAGAAAAGCTGAAACTTTTTAGATTATGTTTGTATGTAAATTATTAAATATATTAGTGTCACTTTATTTCTTCGAAAGAACAATAATTCAGTATATGTGTGCTTCTTGAAATAGTTTTAAGATAAGATGGATTTATTCTTGAAATATGTTTAATAAGATTTAATTAAGTATTCGGCTCAAAGCGAAGACGTGGACCGTATATTCCTGGACCCACTTCGTTCCCATGTTCCACAAACATAGGCAGTTCTATTTCCTGTGTTTGTGGACCATAAGAATGAGGGGGTCTTGAGATGGCATGGAAAGGAGCAAGGACCTAAACAGAAAAGCTGAAACTTTTTAGATTATGTTTGTCTGTAAATTATTAAATATATTAGTGTCACTTTATTTCTTCGAAAGAACAATAATTCAGTATGTGTATGCTTCTTTAAATAGTTTTAAGATTAGATGGATTTATTCTTGAAATATGTTTAATAAGAAATAATTAAGTATTCGGCTCAAAGCGAAGAAGTGGAACGTATATTCCGGGACCTACTTCGTTCCCATGTTCCACAAACATAGGCATTTGCATTACCTGTGTTTGTGGACCATAAGTATGAGGTGGTCTACACTTGGAATGAAAACAAATCACACCGGGCTTTAAGAAGAACATAACCAAGAAGAAAATGACCCACTTCGTTCCCATGTTCCACAAACATAGGCAGTTCTATTTCCTGTGTTTGTGGACCATAAGAATGAGGGGGTCTTTACATGGCATGGAAAGGAACAAGGACCCTACAGAAAAGCTGAAACTTTTTAGATTGTTTTTCTGTAAATTATTAAATACATATATTAGTGTCACTTTATTTCTTCAAAAGAACAATAATTCAGTATATATATGCTTCTTGAAATAGTTTTAAGATAACATGGATTTATTCTTGAAATATGTTTAATAAGAACTAATTAAGTATTCGGCTCAAAGCGAAGACGTGGACCATATATTCCTGGACCCACTTCGTTCCCATGTTCCACAAACATAGGCAGTTCTATTTCCTGTGTTTGTGGACCATAAGAATGAGGGGGTCTTGACATGGCATGGAAAGGAACAAGGACCCAAACAGCAAAGCTGAATCTTTTTAGATCATGTTTTTCTGTAAATTATTAAAAACATATATTAGTGTCACTCTATTTCTTCGAAAGAACAATAATTCAGTATATGTGTGCATCTTGGAATAGTTTTAAGATAAGATGGATTTATTCTTGCAATATGTTTAATAAGAACTAATTAAGTATTCGGCTCAAAGCGAAGACGTGGACCGTATATTCCTGGACCCACTTCGTTCCCATGTTCCACAAACATAGGCAGTTCTATTTCCTGTGTTTGTGGACCATAAGAATGAGGGGGTCTTTACATGGCATGGAAAGGAACAAGGACCCAAACAGACAAGCTGATACTTTTTAGATTATGTTTGTCTGTAAATTATTAAATATATTAGTGTCACTTTATTTCTTGGAAAGAACAATAAATCATTGATTCAGGCACAATATTGGAGGGTAACAACTATTCAATAAATTTTTGGTTACATTTATATGGGTTTTCAGTATCATGTTATCATTATATTTACTGTTTATATGTGCTTCTTGAAATAGTTTTAAGATACGATGGATTGATTCTTGAAATATGTTTAATAAGAAATAATTTAGTATTCGGCTCAAAGCGAAGACGTAGAACGTATATTCCGGGACCTACTTCGTTCCCATGTTCCACAAACATAGGTATTTACATTACCTGTGTTTGTGGACCATAAGTATGAGGTGGTCTACACTTGGAATGAAAACAAATCACACCGGGCTTTAAGAAGAACATAACCAAGAAGAAAATGACCCACTTCGTTCCCATGTTCCACAAACATAGGCAGTTCTATTTCCTGTGTTTGTGGACCATAAGAATGAGGGGGTCTTTACATGGCATGGAACGGAACAAGCACCCAAACAGAAAAGCTGAAAATTTTTAGATTATGTTTGTATGTAAATTATTAAATATATTAGTGTCACTTTATTTCTTCGAAATAACAATAATTCAGTATATATGTGCTTCTTGAAATAGTTTTAAGATAAGATGGATTTATTCTTGAAATATGTTTAATAAGAACTAATTAAGTATTCGGCTCAAAGCGAAGACGTGGACCGTATATTCCTGGACCGACTTCGTTCCCATGTTCCACAAACATAGGCAGTTCTATTTCCTGTGTTTGTGGACCATAAGAATGAGGGGGTCTTTACATGGCATGGAAAGGAACAACGACCCAAACAGAAAAGCTGAAACTTTTTAGATTATGTTTGTCTGTAAATTATTAAATATATTAGTGTCACTTTATTTCTTCGAAAGAACAATAATTCATTGATTCAGGCACAAAATTTGGAGGGCAACGACTATTCAATACATTTTTGTTTATATTTATATGGGTTTTCAGTAAAGTTATCATTCCATTTACTGTATGTGTGCGCTTCTTGAAATAGTTTTGAGGTAAGATGCATTTATTCTTGAAATATGTTTAATAAGAAATAATTAAGTATTCGGCTCAAAGCGAAGACGTGGAACGTATATTCCGAGACCTACTTCGTTCCCATGTTCCACAAACATAGGCAGTTCTATTTCCTGTGTTTGTGGACCATAAGAATGAGGGGGTCTTTACATGGCATGGAAAGGAACAAGAACCCAAACAGAAAAGCTGAAACTTTTTAGATTATGTATGTAAATTATAAAATATATTAGTGTCACTTTGTTTCTTCGAAAGAACAATATTTCAGTTTATGTGTGCATCTTGGAATAGTTTTAAGATAAGATGGATTTATTCTTGCAATATGTTTAATAAGAACTAATTAAGTATTCGGCTCAAAGCGAAGACGTGGACCGTATATTCCTGGACCCACTTCGTTCCCATGTTCCACAAACATAGGCAGTTCTATTTCCTGTGTTTGTGGACCATAAGAATGAGGGGGTCTTTACATGGCATGGAAAGGAACAAGGACCCAAACAGACAAGCTGATACTTTTTAGATTATGTTTGTCTGTAAATTATTAAATATATTAGTGTCACTTTATTTCTTGGAAAGAACAATAAATCATTGATTCAGGCACAATATTGGAGGGTAACAACTATTCAATAAATTTTTGGTTACATTTATATGGGTTTTCAGTATCATGTTATCATTATATTTACTGTTTATATGTGCTTCTTGAAATAGTTTTAAGATACGATGGATTGATTCTTGAAATATGTTTAATAAGAAATAATTTAGTATTCGGCTCAAAGCGAAGACGTAGAACGTATATTCCGGGACCTACTTCGTTCCCATGTTCCACAAACATAGGTATTTACATTACCTGTGTTTGTGGACCATAAGTATGAGGTGGTCTACACTTGGAATGAAAACAAATCACACCGGGCTTTAAGAAGAACATAACCAAGAAGAAAATGACCCACTTCGTTCCCATGTTCCACAAACATAGGCAGTTCTATTTCCTGTGTTTGTGGACCATAAGAATGAGGGGGTCTTTACATGGCATGGAACGGAACAAGCACCCAAACAGAAAAGCTGAAAATTTTTAGATTATGTTTGTATGTAAATTATTAAATATATTAGTGTCACTTTATTTCTTCGAAATAACAATAATTCAGTATATATGTGCTTCTTGAAATAGTTTTAAGATAAGATGGATTTAATCTTGAAATTTGTTTAATAAGAAATAATTAAGTATTAGGCTCAAAGCGAAGACGTGGAACGTATATTCCGGGACCTACTTCGTTCCCATGTTCCACAATCAGTTTATTCCAGTAGTCGTTTTCATGGACTTTGAGATTATGTGGTGGACATTTACAACTGAAATTCACAGTTGATATAAAATAATTTCAAAATAAATATACACTAAACGCACTTATACCTTTGAATGACTTAACAATGTTAATTAAATTGTCTTATTGGTCGGTTAACCATTCATTCATAAAATACCTAAGTACTATGTTAATGCTAACGGTGTTCTGTATTTTTGACTTCGAGGTCTTTCATGTTAGTAGTAATATAATGTTTGTTTTCACAAATATATATTAATATATATATCGGCGCTACCAGCTTTTATTACGGATGCGACATGAAAATAATTTGAGGCCGTCATCAATTCTTATTAAACCTCATTAGTATTTATGATTATTGTTAAAAGTAAAACGAAATCAAAGATTGTTTAAAAAGAGAATAGAACTATGTTTAAATCTTGGTATAAATATGACGTCTGGACGCACGACGGCAGAATCCAGAGTTCAGTAGGTATAATAAGTTGTGTCTTATCGCTCTGGGATCTTACTCTAATCATTGAAGTATGTTATTATGAAGAACCTTCGAGAAACACAGGAGCATTAAGAACATTTGAAGTTTCATTTTAAAATATCGTGGAACGCTCTAGGAGAAGTGACATTTGTTACGTCAGCGAGGCTGGCGTCTCTCTCTTCAAAAACAACGAATTTATAATAACTAAACTATTACCAAAATACATTTTTATCATAATTATTATATTATTAAATAAACTTTATACAAAAATACTATTTGGTGACACCTGTTGGAGATGTTACGTACTACGTTACACGCAAAATGACCAACAAATACAATCAATGCGGCATTTCTTATCACCTACAGATGGCGCAAAGTGCAATAAGTGCAATTCGGTATTCCATCGATTGTGCGTCAACATATGCCTCCACTCCCGCCTCCCCCCGCGCTGGACGTTCTGAGGCTGGCGCGGACCGTAACATAATCGTCTAAGAGCTAGCAACGTTTTTGAACGAGAATTTCAGGTAGGCTAGTTTTTAGATATGATATCTCTCACACTCCCCCGGACGTCATACGGGCTATCTGGCTGGCGGTAGTGGTTGCGTTCATCAGTGCGCATCGTACCTGTGCAGGTAGAAAAAATAATATTTCAAATCATTTTAAGAAGGTTTTTTTTATTATTATTATTATTATTGAACTATTCACAACATAAATTTATTATTGCCAGATATTTTTATTGTTGTTTAAACGGTGCCAAACCTCAATTTTGAATTAAAAATTATTTTTTTTTTCAAAATATTTTAGTATAGCTGAAATTTTAATAGCATGTTAATTAACTATCTAAAAGCTCAGAATTAATTTACTAGACAAAAAATCGGTTGTTAAACCTTTTGCCAGATCGAAATAAAGCGTAAAGTGATGTAGTATCATTTAGCTTGGTCTAGAAAATTAATCGTCTAATAAATGATGGAAGAAGGATAAAAAACTATTGAATTTATTTATAGATGAATACGGTATAAAAATAATATAACATTGATCATTATCTCAATTTTGTACAACAATAAAGTATTATTTTTATGGTCACGGGGGAGATAACGTCATTTAGGTTGGAGCTCACGAGAATTTATGAGAATACATGGTCGAATCAAATAAAGGGGTTGACAATGTAGAGGAGCATTTAACTTCTTTGGAAGAAAAGTTCACGGGTTCTGTAGGCAGGAATGAAACAAATTTAAATGATGTAATTATGCAATTAAAAGCAGACATTAACGACCGAGAAGAGAACACGTTACTAAATGATGTTCAAATAAGGGGTGTGCCTGAACGGAGTGGTTAGAATCCTGTTCATCTGACTCAGGCGATCGCCAAGAAGCTAGGAATGGTTCTCGAATCCGCGATGCGTGCGTCTGGCGCGGCGGTCTCTGCGCGACGTCATCATAAAGGCGGCACAGATAATTCAGGCGTCACCTCCGGCAATCCCTATCGAATCTACATCAACGAACACCTGACACGTTTTAATCGCTTGTTGTTTTATAAGGCCAGGGAGGAGAGGAAACGACACGGCTTGCGTTCATATGGATGCGGGAAGGAAGAATACACATGCGTCGTGAGGCTGATACGGCAGTACGACGTATTCGAACAGAAAACGATACATGTAAAATTTTTGGCTCAACATAATTTTGAAATTGACTAATAATATAGGAGTTGCGTATTTCAATTACAATTTTTTTTTAATATTGTTATTATTTACCTTTATAGTAATATTTCTCTTTGGATTGTTTTATACCTCTAATTATACGTTTTTATTAGGGTTGTACAATAATTTGCGAGTGGGTGGGTCGCACGTTTGGCCCACTGACCTACCGCCTGTCACAGTTGCTGTCGGGACACGGATGTTTCGGCAGGTATCTGTGGCGGGTGGTGGGCAGGGAAGAAAGCCCCGCCTGCCATCACTGCGGGGGTGGCGTGGAGGACTCGGCGCAGCATACTCGCGAGTCATGCCCAGCGTGGGACAGCCTTCGCGCTGCTTTGACTACGGTCATAGGGAGAGACCTCTCGTTGCCGGCTATAATCTCGGCTATGGTCGGCAGCGAGGAGGCATGGGAGGCGGTGGCCGCTTTCGCCGAAGCGGTCATCAGCGCGAAGGAGGCAGCGGAGCGGGCCAGGGAGAGCAACCCGGAGGCCCCTGCCCTCCGTCGTCGGCGAATTGGTCGCCGGCGCCGAGCCTATCTGGCCTCTTTACAGCCATAGGTTAAGCGCCGGGCGACGTGATCCTGGGTGGCAGACGGGGACTTCTGTCGCCCGCTGGCAGGATCAGTGCGGTGCTAGCCCCTCTTGTTCCGGGGGCGGCTCGCAGTGGTGGTTTGTGGGGGGATTTGCCCCCCCTAGTTCGAGGTCCGGAGTGGACAAGCGCCGGCAGGGTCGCGAGGCAAGCTTTTGGTATACCGTGGCCCTGCCTAGGTGGCGTGGATGAGGAACACCCAGGGGTTTTAGTGGGTCGAAACCAGACATAACCCGGTCAAGTCCCCGCTCGGCCGGGTATCTGTGAACAGATTTCCCCTGGGAAAACAAAAAAAAAAAAAGGGTTGTACAATAATCCAAATTATTTAAATTTTAAAGCACATTTCACAACCAACAATGACGTGTCCCCGGCCAGTAAAATAAAATATTTGTTTGAACCTATCATAAAATTAATATATTCCTATATTTTCTACATTAAATTCCATTTGAATAACTTTAAATCTTACAGATTTAGCTATTATAGTGTAAAGGTCATATATATTATACGTTGAGCTTATATTTTGTTTTATTAGATTTTTATTGTTTTTATAAATTTTTATTTATTTAATTATCGCCATAATACTTATTATTTAGAAACTTGTTCACCGCCACACCAGTCAGTGTCAAAGTTTGTACCATTGAAAATCAGCATGAGGTGTTACCTTGTATACCTTTTGGGACACGTCATAGGGGAACCCAGGGCGGAACGGGGTACCGGGGTGGAATGAGAAGGGAGTGTGGTACTCACTAGAGGTAATAGAGACGCGTGAACGTTGCGCACAACGTTCAGGCCGCTCTGCTGCGCTGTACGGAGTGGTTTTGGTTAGTGTGAGAGTGCGCTAAATTTGGATTTTATCAAAGATCGACGAAAAAACCCACAAATTCTAATTTTCGCTTTGAAATATTAGTGTAATTACACTATTCATTACTATTTATTGAGATATTTACAATACATGTTGCTTTGAATATTCTTTTGACTACCTAAAGTCTAGTGATGATTCAAATCAAACAAATACATAACCGGCCATAACACATCGTTACGTGAACGGTGCGTCGGGGCACAATGGGAGGGGCACAATGAGGTAATACCCCGAGTGGAAATTTGGATCAGGTCCGGATAAGGCTAACCCTGCTTACGGTCCGGAACGGATAGGGGCGATCGGATAAGGTTAATATAGGTTTTGTAACATTCCCTTAGAGAACCCTGCTGAGAAAACTGCACAGGAAGCGCCAACTACACCAGTTGGATCCACTGAAATACCTAAAGATCTGCCATCTACCAAAACACCTCAATTTCACCCGATACCTATTAATAATAATTTTTCTTTCCAAGATAATGATTTGATGCCTACGAATGACGAAAATCTTCCACCACCAGAGAGCGTTTATCTAAATCCTAAACCCGGATGTTCATGGATGCCCGATTCTCCTCCACGTACCATTGCCAACACAAATTTTTCAATTACGTCTCCAAAAGATCTGATTCCGTTGCCTAAAATCAATTCTGTAATGAAAAGAGTTATAAAGAAGCGCGGAAAAACCGCAATCCTTACCGCCTCACCTTATAAGATTGAATTATAGGAATCTATTAAAAAGATACAAAATATTAAGGAAAAAAAGTAGACAAAATTAAACAAAGACTGATTTTAAAAGATAAAGAAAACTTAAAGAAAAGAATGAAAACTAAAGAAAAACTAAAGTTAAAAAAGAAAGGGAAAAAACCAAAGAATTTAAGATCAAGTCAAAGAAACAAATAAAAATCGAAACTGAAGATGAAGACTCGGAAGAAGAAGAGGCGATCTGCTTGTATTGCAATGATTATACTCTAAGTCAAGTGAAGGCTGGTGTTCCTGTTCCATTTGTAAAAAATGGGTACATTTGGCATGCGCTGGCATAGATAGTGACGATGATGAGAGTGTCCTAATTTGTGAACTGTGTCAACAGTTGATACCCCATCGTGCCCCAAATCGTATCCCATTGTACCCCAGGGGGTGGGGCAGAATGGGAAATTTCTCTTTATTTTTCAAACAAAAATTTTTCATCGTGTTTATTAATTTAGATAAGTTTAGCTTAAATTTTTTTGTAATGAAATAAATAAATAAACCTTCAAATTGCCAAATAATGGTGTTGTTTCATTCAAACTCTCATAAATTGTAACCAAAGGTTAGGTACCCCGTTCCGCCCCCAGTTTCCCCTATATGTATTTTATGTTTAGGGTATTATTTTTTACTTTTTTTTGTTTTGATTCTTTTTCTACCCTAAGTTTTAATTTTTTTTTAGTGTATCTATATCATAATTATTTAGTCATAAGTTTTATTTTATTCTCTATTCCGAAATATCTTTTTATTTGTAATTTTCTTTGTTCTTTTGTATACCTACCGACGTGTCTCAAAAAAAAACTTTCTGTCTTTCTTCTTTCTATATCTGAGTTGTTGTAGTTATTATCCGACGTTTCTTATATCTTTTTATTTTGCATAATAATTGCAAGTTTTTTAGCCCTGAATGTGAGCCCTGAATTAAAACTGACTAAAATTTATACAACAGTTTGTTTGCATAGTATTAAAAAATACCAGAGATATCTGTAGTTTTATTTATATGGAATGGTATTTGCCATAGATTGGGCTATTAATACAATTTATTCCATGTCCCCGACAAATGAGAAAATTACTAATTTAAAGAAAGTCTCATATGCGTTCTGCGAAATCCTCGAGGAAAAAATCATTAAGTATTTCTCCGGGAAATATGCAGAGTTCACTCATTTTATATCTAAAGAACTTTGTAAAATACCAATATTTTGTTTTCATAATCATTGCTTTTAAATTAAAAAAAACAAAACTTGTATCTTTAATGAGCACAACTTTAGACATTTCTACAAAAAAATTATCCCATTCCAACTACTTAAAGTCATTACTACGTTATTACGTTTCCTTTTCTTGTGAATTTTATAAATGTTTATTCTAAATTCTTACTAGCATAATAAGGATTGAAGAACGAATATTTTCACATAGTTGTTAAACTAAATTTATCCGTTGTAATTATGAATCATATACAAAATACTTAAATTACCATTCATTCAGCCGAGGGAAGATAGTATGAAAGTGTCGTCAAACGTCAGCTTGTCATGTCACTTACAATTTACCAGTTAGCATTAACATCTTAATAGTGTAATTAATAGTTATCTGTACATGAGACAAGCAATCGCACCAACTTTATTTTAACACTTTTTGCAAATAATTAAAATATACATATATACCTACATATTTACTTTTTACAAAATAACGTGTTTTATCTTCTTCTGATAACGTCTTATTGATCCATTCCATGATTAGGTATATTTGTAACATTGAAGCAATGTGAGTTAATACTTGAATTATAATTCCAAACAATAAGTATGGGTCATTTGATAGTAATTAATAATTACATCAAAATATTCCGTTCTAACAGATTAAAACTAATCTTGCTATAACAAGATATAATCAGGGTTTTTTGTAATGAATAAGACTGAATAGGATTTTATGAACTGTTCAGTTCTCATATTGTACAAAACCTTTTTTGAACGTAGATATGAGAACCATGAAAATAAGATTTGATCTACTTTTTTAATATTTCGCCTACGTCGTAAATATATTTTTTTTTCGCCATGAAAATACAATTTGAAAAATTAAGCATCTGATAAGAGGATATAATATTCGTATTGTATACTTATAAGTTATTCATAGAGATAAAGGATCTTTGATTTAAAATTGATAAAAATAGGTACAACTTTGTAAGCCCCTTAATGTAATAACTGATTTGGCACTTAAATTGAAGACGTATGTTGCCTTGATAATTTTTATAGCAAACTCTGTTTCCACCTACAAATGTACCTACTTATTTTAAACCATAAAAGAAAGATATAATTTACTTGTGTTTTCTCAAAATCTGCCTTCTCCTTCTGTTAAATAGTAAAATTAAGAGTTAAATATATTTTGGTTTAATCAGGCAGATATTATTGAGCGACTATTTCCTATGAAGATATTCAATCACATTAACATACTATTGTGAATGCAGAATTTTGGCATAACCATAAATAAATTTAGGACAAGTATCTTTTCATTAATCAAAAATATATCTGTAAGTCAGAAGTCTGTTAAAGTTTCTAATAGTATTAATGCTCCTAATATTTCATTATATTTGTGTTATGAGTATCATATGGTAAGGAACAAATCGAATAAGCTAGATATCGGTTTGTATCATTTAATCTCCCTAAAAATGTACAATACAGACGGCGATCCCAAACAGCATAAGTCGATAACAATTCTACATGCCACCTTCATGCGGCCGTTATTATCACCGACCTCAAGACAGATACCGGAAAGCTATGCATAAATAACATGATTTCAACAATCTACATATATATAAGGTATAGGAATAATTGAATATTTAGGTACAACATTTTATTTGCAGATTTTTATACTACATAATTATTAAATAAACTGCATACATGATGCACTGGTGAGTGTAACACTTAACACATAGTTCTCGCACCACTAAAAGGGAGGTTTCACACATTCGATTCCATGGCCGTCCACTCCAGATAGATAAGAAACCTCATGTAGGATGGCAGTAGTAGTGTTCTTAAAATAATTAGCTTAGAAAGCAAAGAGCAGCAGGAAGGCCATCATAAGACAAAACAGTCCCATGGCTTCGGACAAGGCGAAACCCAGGATGGCGTATGAGAACAACTGTTGCTTAAGGGATGGGTTCCTAGCATAGCCGATGATGAGGGAACCAAAAACTGTTCCAATACCAGCACCTGAAAAAACATACTAGTTATAAGTTTTACAAAAATATGCACATTAAAAGCAAACTACATTTACTTAAGGCAACTAAATTATTGTTTACAGAGTACTGGGAATCTAAGATAATGTTCAAGACTAACTACTCTAGCTTACACAAATTATGTAACATCTACTACAAAGGACTTCATTTGCAAAATCTCACCTTCAATGGCTCATATCATGCAATATAACGATTAAACACATCATGGATACTATACATATAAATCATCAGAATTATTAGGTTATTATACACTGTACAAAACAATTAAATTAAACAAAAAAACTTAAATGTTTCTAAAGGGCAAAAAGCATTAAGAAAGCAATCATCAAACAGAAAAGTCCCATGGCTTCTGATAGCGCAAATCCCAAGATAGCATAGGAAAAAATTTGCTGCTTCAATGATGGGTTACGAGCATAGCCAATGATTAAACATCCAAACACCACACCAATTCCGATACCTGCAGGTTATAGGTTGCATAAGCATGGTCATAAGAATTATGGCTTTTAGTCATTTTATAGGAAATACAAATAAACTAACTTCATGTATTACATAATTACAACTTATGTAAATGGTTATTTTTAATTGAATAGAATCTCTAGTCTTTGAATAGAATCTCTAGTCTAGAATCTTAAGTTATTCTCTTTTATAATATTAACCCCATAAATAAACAGTTAGTTTGATATCTGTTAAGCTAAAGTTGACTGACTGAAGGATTAAGAACAAATCAATAATGTTACATGTTATGCAATCATGTTGCACACACCCTTTTCATAGGGGTGTATATATCACTATTTCCATATATAACTTCAATGCATAATATATTCTTTTATTTAAGTTTAGTATCATTAAAAATATATGCCAAAATATCAAAGCTAGATGAAATATAGATTGATTGAAAGTCCCAAAACCCACCACATCAAAAAGGGGCATTTTTCAGTACATTAATTTATTTCCTCCAGATTATATATAATTTTTAGTTAAAAAAATAATGTGGTAACATTTAGACAGATAACATGCATATAAATACTCCGTAAATTCTTAGACCTCATTAGATAGCATGCTGATTGATTAAAAGCAACAAGCAAAAGATTATAACAAATACACACCAGATCCCGCCACTCCGACTGTGGCAGCTCCGGCACCAATGAACTTGGCGGCAGAGTCAATGTCCTTAGTGACGGCTGTGGTCTGGAAGGAACGCACAGCAGACAACTGGGAGACTGGGGCGGGGACAATCTGGGCCTGTGGCAGAGCTGCCAGTGGCCTAACGAGGGCTGTGTTGCTGAATAGCTGTAAAAAAATCATTAATTAGTAATTTATTAGGTTTAATTAACAATATAAAGGTCGTAAATCAATATTCAACCAGCAAAAACTTCCAATAAGAACTATTATGTGGTCCAAGTTTAAGTTGGACAAAATTGACTGAAGTATGTATTAGATAATTCAAATAGAAATTTTTAAATTAAAATGCCTTTTAATCTGTTAAATTTCAATTATAGTGTTTAAGTAAGTTATTATTATTGCTATAAAAGAGATAGAAACAATTAACACCTGATTTGACATGTTATATAACTCACAATCAATACAAGTTATGAAACAGTTTTCGGAGATTTTGGTATATTAAAAAAATGCCTGTATACATAATAAATACTTGCAGTACTAATCTTTGAGGTTAGCCAACTTTTATATAACATTATAGATTACAGTTATTAAGTGATACTAAGACCAAGTTCAAAGTCATTCTATGAATTAAAATCATGAAAATATTGATTAAATTGAAATGATTTTGTATGAATGAATAGTATTCTTGTATTCTGGAGTACTTACAGCAGACCTGGCTGCAGGGGCGATCAATCTGGCGGCGTACAGCATTTTGATTTATTAAAGGGCGGCGATCGACAACTGGAAGCAACGAATGCTAGATATATAATAGGAAGCGGCTACTTGCTAGTACTATACAATATAGGGGACTTGACAGTTTGACCGCAGAGCGTTACGTAATTTACAGGGCTACGTAACGAAGTGATAGAGGCTTAAGTTCAACTGCAATTTTGCAATATATCCTCACAGGATATCACTGAACACTGAATTAAACAGCGAGACTAGCTATACTTGTCACAAATATAATTAAACTAGGAGGCGGCGGAAAATGGCCGAATCGGCAATCTATCTTCCGTTTTATATGTCGTCTTCAAAACTTACGATATATCACTATAAAATATTAACACCGACGCGCACTATGTGCTATTTAGTAATGATTTTACCACTTATTATGATGTTTCTTATAGTGATTTCAGCACTTTTTCACGATTAAATTGATCACAATTCTACTAAACTTACCAAAGAACACCGAGAAGGAGGAGACCGGCCTTTGGAATGTTCAATATCTGAGTGGACGAGACTCACAGACTAAAAATCGCGATTCACTATTGGTTGCTTTGCGCATATTGCGCCAGTTCCGCTTTAAGTAGCCAACTATTGATCGGGCTGCGCGAATGACATATGCTCAACCTACTTTTTATTTTCAACATTTATTGAAAGAAAGATATTTAGATCATTATGCAACTAATTTTCAAATATAATTATTTTTTTAATTTTTGATTTGAAATATTACCTTTAATCTTGGTTATTTTAAAATCATAATATAACAGTTTTCCGGGACTATAGTGTTACATTTGACTAGTACATTATCCTCCATTCGACATGGCCGTCTTCATGATAAACATCTGTAAATTTAATGGCTGTGGCATTACATTTCCACGATTAGCGGATTTAATTGAACATATTGAAGACGTCCACATCGGTAAGTAATGAAATATTTGTATTCATTAAGCGGATATTAGTGATTTTTGGTCTTTAAAAATTACCGTGACCCTCCCTTATACGTCTTATCAATATGCTTAGGTTGTCAACATTGGAGTACAAGCTATATATATGTATCATTTAAGAATAAATGCGGGAAAAATTCAATAAATAGGTTGTTTCATTTATTAATATATCTCAACCTTGTACCAAATTAATGTTAATCATTTATTAGTATACAATATTAGTCATTATTCTTTACAGTGTAAACATTGATCAGCTGATTTAAACGGAAGTGGCAACCTAGTAATAGATTAATTATTTCAATCAATTTTTAATTTTTTCAGACTATGATCCCGCAGTCATTGAACAAAAAGAAGCCTCTCAGCCAGCATGCATACCCCTTAGTTACGTATTGAAATTTTTCACCGAAGCGTCGAGACGGGAGATTCAAAACATGCCGACAGCCGACGTCCGCCGCCGTTTAGTTTCAGCACCAAAAACACCGTCCGTTCGAAGCAGTACACCCACAGGTTATTGCTATTAGATCTTAAAAGTAATGTACGTTGAATTTTTTATGGTTTCAAAGTTTATTTTTTTAAAGCTATATGAAAATACACAAACAGAAACAAAAGCAAATCTGGCAACAGTTTTGTGTCGTTTGGGTTTTTATAAAACGTTTTGCATGGAGAAGAAAACGTTCTAATATTCACGAGAACATTTATAATCATTAAGCAACTCACCAAAAAACATTTTTGGTTTTTAATGTACATGGGTCCATTTAATTATAGAGGGATTTTTTTTACTATTTCTTGATCGTAAGTGGCAATACATTTCGACTTGATAAACTAACTATTATTTTGTTCCATTGCAACTTTCGACAGTTGATACATTAAACCATTTGATTCTTCATTCATTGTGGTTGGTTTTGTAAATAAGTTTTTTTGTATTTTTTTTTTATATTTTGAAAATCGTTTAAGCTAACATCGGTTTGTCATTGTAACAATGATTAATGTTTTCAATAATGATGAGTTTTATAATAACAATATTTATCAAATGATTCCAGGGAGCGAGGTTGATGAAGATGAGATGATGAGTCCATCGGAAGACAGCAATGATTCTTGGACCACTGTGGAAGAGTATAGTTCAGAGTTCATACTGAGATATGGTGTCAAGTGAGTTGGCTTTATACTATGATATGATTGTCTAATTTACCTTAGACAAGTACCAGTAAAAATTATCTCGGATCATTAATTAACATATGTATGTTGAACTATTTTCTGAATGGGACGTTTCCTTGGATTCCGAAATAAATCTTCTGAGAGAAATATATAAAGTGTGTTAGAACAGTATCAAATCTTATTCGCCGACAGCGACATCTATAGTCATATGGCTGTGATGTCATTCACAAAGTTACTTATGTTTTAGTCCTCTGATAACTACACGAATTTTCGGGTTCAATTATAGACTATGTCTTATTCTGATGCCCAAACTAGAGTGCTGTAAAGATTGATCAAAAACTGATACGTAGTTTTTGCGTTAAAGAGCAACAAAGCTCCATACATAAATATATAATTAGGTAATCCTAATTATATATTTATGTATGGAGCTTTACTAATGTAAGAGAGAGATATATATATATATACAGGGTGACTGGTGAATTACTATCGATATTTGAGGACGTGATATTTGACGATCATATGACAAAATAAAAATTAATATAACATAAATATTAATAAACTTCTAAGTAAAGTTAGCCAAAAGTTATGTAATTAATTACGCATCGTATGAACACCCTACAGATTAGGTATACACACACACACACACACACACAGATGCGGCGGCGGCGTATAGTTGTATCAGCACGCCGCCACACGCGTCCACACTTGGAACATTTGGAACGTGTACACACTTTATTTATTTATACGGAAATTTGGTCAAAAATTAAGTACCTATTTTTTTTACATAATTCGAATGAGAATCATGTACCGAGTATTCTCCTTAAATATTGATAGTAATTCACCAGTCACCCTGTATATAATATTGGTAAAAGTAATGGCTAAAGTAATTAGTTTTACACATGTAACATTATTACTTTTAATTCATATCGTTAGGTTGGTATATAGCATGATTCGTTTGATTGGTAACATCATAAGGTTGGTACATAACATATTGTTCTATAGAATGAACGCGAGCGCGTCATCTGGCGCGTTGGGGCCGGCTGCTCAAGAGAAACCTTTCGCTTGTCCCGTGCCAGGTTGTAAGAAAAGATACAAGAACGTCAACGGTATAAAATACCACTCGAAGAACGGGCACAAAAAGGACGGCAAGTGAGTATAGATTAAAACTTCTTAGAGTATAGATTAAAAATAATTCTATGGTTTTTATAATCTGTGTACATATATTTTGACGTTATTACTTGACAGTACTTATTACTTGACAGTTGACAGTAGTTTTATCGCGAGATTGCATCGTTAAATTTAACAGATAGTTCTATATGTACTTATACTTATATTTGTGAATATTGATGAATAAAATGAAGAGGAAGTCGACTTATGATTTGGTAGTACGAAATTATGGTAATAATATTCATATTGAAGTGTTAATCGTTAATTTTTTATTTAAATCATATCACGGTAGGATAAATTAACATATTAAAAAATCTAGGGCTTGTATGACAAAAATTCGGTTGTATTAAACAAAACAGTTTATCATACGTACTAAGTACTTTTAGAATGCTGTACAAGCTGCTATTTAATTTAAATTGTTAAGGAACACTAAAACTAAATTTTGAGGCAGATATATTTAAACACTAATTGATATTTGTATACACGTTTACTTTGTATGAAAATAGTTTTTATTTAGTTACATTATCCTAGACTCGCAAGATGACGTAGTATGTTACTTGCCCGGTCAGATTAGCTTCAAAAATAGGGATACTGTTGCAAAAATCCGTTTTTATACATTTTCCAATTTAAAGGTAAGTTTTAGCATGAAACATGTGAAACAAAAATTACTTATCATTAGCCATATTTGGTTTAGATGTTGCTTAATCGAACCAGAAGTATGAGGAAGTCGAGCTAATTGTACTCGTTTTTTGTTTTGAGTATTTTTTTTTTACAAAAGATAAATATTGAAACTCATATATGCACGTAATTTTTTTAAGGCTCCGTATCAAGAAAGACGGTGTCGAATTTTGTTGGTGCTTAATGTTTATGCACTCGAGGTACTTTTCTTAAAACGTCAGCACAATCAACTAAATCTTTTTTCTCAAACAATTTCAAAAGTATTGTTTAACTCCTCGTGAAGAACGGTGATGTTGTGTCGTGTAAAAATATTGTGATTTATGTATTTTTGAGAAACGAACCAACCAAAATTGAATATATATATATACAATTGCTGTTGGGAACTCTAACCGAAAAAATTGTATTTGAAAAAAATTGTTACTTCTATCGGACGGAGTTCAAGCGGAAAGTAATACGATAAATCAACATCTATACTTATAACAAAAGTTGAATTTGACCAACGTAATTGAAACAAGTTGAGTCATTATCGCTTATATTCTTATTGGTATCATATTTGTGTTATTTATATACACACATATTATGAAGAACACAGCTTATTGCATCGCTATATCTACGAAACTGATTCTTAGAGTAAAAATGAGCTATAATTTTTGTTATAGATAATTTTATGATAAACAATTTTGGTCTCACTTATTTTTACGATAACACTTACCGTCTACCTGGATAATGCTAAAAGAAACATTTTTGCAACATTTGATTTTTTTTATAAATTTTTTAGTGATAGAGTACCCCAACATTTGTGTCAGCTTTCAGCTTTGTGGAAATTAATTTAACCTTAAATGTCTATTTTGACTGGGCTACACAATATTAGTGTTAATTAAACAAACGTACTCGGAATAGAAAAGAAAAAACGTCTGAATTATTTTTTTTAGAGAAAAATATTTAGAGGAAGTAGTTTGTTGTTTTATTGCAAAGTCTAAAATCCATATGAAACGGTTGCTATGTACTTAAATTTGATTGAATTTTGTTATTTTCATATTAACCGTATTATTGATATTCTTATTACTAAATAATTTATACCTACATATTTTTTAATAGTAATTGAAGTAAATTAATCGTTAATCTTTAGATTGTATTGTTTTCGTAATTTTTAATTGACTATCTGTAATAGAAAATATCGAGTAATGCCGGCACCAAATCTGTATAAACAAAAAGCAGTTCCGTCTCTTAAGAAGCGTCTGACCGCTCAGGAATATTTTTGGAAGAAATGGGTAAAAACTTGGTGCTTTACCTGTAGTGTAATACTTGTATTGAATTTTACGACAATGTTACTTAAATTTTTTATCAATTTAGACTTTATATAATAGTGTTATAGTACTGAATACTTAGATTTACATAGCTGGTATCAATTTGGGGGTTTTATGGTAGAGAAAGTAAATTGTTACGTTTGAATATGTTTATATATTTTTATTATATAAGTAATATTAATTTTCCAGGGTAAAAAAGGCCTACAAATGCCAATGCGGCAAAAGCTACAAAACGGCGCAAGGCCTTAAAAGTCACTCGATAACTCACCACATCGAGAACCGGCCTCATAAGGTCCCGAGTCTTCCAGGCCTAGTGGTGACTGCCTCTCCGGCCCGGCACATGGATAATATTGACACCAAACTAGTCCGAATCTACGACACCATTAAACCCAAAGACCTTCCATTTATTCCCAAACATAATCTCACCCAATTCAGCATCATCAGCGCCAACCAGGCGCAATCCCTTCGACATTCGGTTCTATTAGCTCCCAATTCGGATAAATTTAAGGAGAGGTCACCAAAGGTCACGGTCACCCAAGAATCTTATGACGTGTCCAGTATAACACAAGCCAGCGACCGTAGAGGCTAAACGAAGCAGTTCCTATACGAAAATTGGAGGTGTTTATCAATCTGCTTTTTTTTTGCACCTTCGCATAGTTAATTTTCTCAGAAGTCATTGTTTTGTTTTTTTTAAATTTTTGTTTTAGTTAGAATTGTTTGCTGTGATTTTTATGTTATTTTGTTACCAAAGTGATATAAATCGCTAGGTTAGGTTGATCCATAGGATTCCTCGTATTTATTGCAAGTTTATTTTGTCATTTCCCTGCTTCTTTTGATCATAGACAGGGTAATAGTTGTTTTTTTTGTTCACAATACTCCGCTAACTGCTAAGGTATGTATGTAGATCGTGCCATTCACATCTGTACTTAATGTATTAGCTTACATTATCCTTATAGATGTAGGATTTTTTGTATTTAAGGTGAGAAAAAAAGGAAAATACAAAAATAGCATTCGCTGTTAAGGATCCGATAGGATATTAAATATACTCGTAAATGTGATAATATTTTAGAAAATGTAAAAAAAAAATGCTTGTAAGCGTATACTTATAATAAAATAGCACTTAAGGCTGATTTAAATTCTCTTTTTTATGTAAGAGGTATGCTTTTTAATAGCTTATTTTGATGAATATGAGAGGCGGAGAAATTTTTACGTGAATATTTTTTTTTTATTTGAATATTTGTAAAAAAAATCCTATATCGTATTTCAGATGTCTGTGCCTTTTTATTTAGTGACCGGTTCATTGAATATTGGTTATGATTTAATTGTTATTGTTAAGTAATTTCTTGCCTTAACGTTTTGAACCTTGATAACCGAAATTACTGTTATATATCGAAGATGGTGCTTAAAACAAGGGATGTAGGAGTGTAACTCTATAAAATTGGTCTAGGTTAGTGTCCGGAAGGCGCTTTAGTGATATTACTTGTGGGAAAACCTTCGCTTAAGCCAAAGACAGAAAGTTATTCGTCTTTTTTTTTCCATAATTAATATATAAACATTATTTTTCACTTTACAAAAATGTGTTTATTTTTTTATTTAGGAAAATGTTCGAATATCAAAATATTAGAAGGTATACATTTTCTTATGTTCTTTTATCCATTGTGTATCGTTGATTTAGTTAAAAAATTATATTGAATGATTTATAATAACAAGTTTTCACTTCATCCTAAATGAATTTCAAAGGTATCTAGACGATTCCGACGGAATTGTAATATTGGTGTTTTTTTTTAGTTAATAAAGACTGATCGTTGGAATGTTGAAACTTATTGTTCGTATTTTGCAACGGCAATAATTTTGTTATACGTCAAATGTATGTTTATTTAATTTATTCGTTAACCGTATAAAGACATGAGAGTGCTCAGTATTTCTTTGTTAATTTACTAAAAAAAATATTAACAGGCAGCTGAGAAGGTAGGTTTGAATGATTGACTTATATATGTATATGAGACTTTTAATGTTTTTTTTTTTTAATTTTAACCACCAAGGAGGTCGATAGATTTAGTTCAACCTCTTTTTTAGAATCTTAATGAGATGAATTGTTTATGGAAATGTTTGAGTTTTCTGTAAATTTGTATGCTCCATACATAAGGCACAACGATTTTTTTTGTATTGGTGATTGATTTTATATTAAGACAGCTGTTCGAGGCTTTAACGGTCCCATGTCATTGAAGGTATACAAAAATATTGACATTCAGTCAATTAAAGAAAGACCAATTTTTAATGTTGTTGTAAAGGTTTCTGAGGTGGATTTGATGATATTATCAGAGATTTCCTATGTAAAGATATAATTGTCCTATATATTTATATGTTCATACGAGGTTGTGAAACTTATTGTCCTTTATAGATATCATCTATACTATCATTATTTAAGCGTTTTATCCGAGATGTTCGATTTCCATACATTTATAACTAATATATTGAATGTTTTAAATTGTCTGTGGAATTATCTGCTTTAATGATTCGCGATGTTTTATGTTTTTATTCAATGTTAAAAAATATATATATGTGTGAATATAATTTTTTGTACCAATTTTATAATGTAGCGTAAGATCCCATTTGTTCGGTGTTTACTGATTGCGACAACGCATGTAATGTGTCGTTACAAATTAATAATAAAGCCAATATGCAATCACGCCACAGTGTAGTTTTATTTCAAGTATTTATAAGAAAACATGTCTATACGATTAGTTTATATTTACGCTACTAGATGGCATTGTTTATAATTTTTCATTATTGTATTTTTAAATATTTTGTTATAAGATTAGCTAAATATATTGTATATATCGAAAGTTGTTTAGAATGTAGGAAAAGATCGTATAAATACATGATGTGCCCAAAATTAGAGCCTAAGAATTAATTTGCTAAAAGTAGTAGGTTTTAAGTACACCTGACAAAATATTTGAATAATAAAATACCAATTTTCATCATTACCTCGTCTAAGACTTTGATAATAATGAAATCTTCTGCAAATATTGATTTAAATTTTAAATGAAACTAATACGTTTATTATTTTTAACGGGCAGACGAGATGTCTGCCGTGATCACAGTTGCTGCAAAGTAATCGAAACGTCGGGAGTATGTAGTTTTTAAATATAATAAAATAAGCGAAGTAATCAGAAAATAATAATTTCGTTTAAACATTGATAATATTCGCACAAAATGTTACAGCAGTCCAATCAGAACGAACATCTATATACTTTATGAATTTCTCAACTACCTCGGAGCCATGAAAGTACCTTAAAACGATTACGATCTGTTCATTACAGCTTTATAAGTTATTTAAATAGCCATTATCTAGTGGAGATTCAAACATTGTTATTATTACCATTTGAAAACAAAAAACAAGGCAAACAAAATAACTTATTTGTGTGTACACAACCTGCTAACTACAACTAATACTAACTAAAACTATCATAATACTTTTTTACTAAATCGAACAACATTACCATTCTTTTAGTTCAGTCTCACTGGTCACACACCTTGACTTTACACTAATTTTAATTTTATTATCAAACGACAATTTTGAAAATCTACTCGTAACTAATTTCATAGACACACGAGCGCAGAGCTTACAGCTATAATTTTCCACAATTCCTTAATAAATTAATCCACTGTTTACTAATTAAAACTTATCCACTTGCACTTAGAAAGACAAATGATAATATTTAAAATAGAATGGCGAAAAAAATATATGAACAGACCAATCAGAGTCCCGTTTCATTTGACAATTAACAGACTTTCTACATTTTAAACAATACAAAATAATCAGAGTGCTTCCCGAACACTGCATGTGTTAGTTTTGCACACACACACACACTCACTCATACAAACATTTCCTGCGTACATACACGAGATTTGTAGATCATCCTTGAGAATTTTTGTATGGAAAATAAACACAGTGGTTATGCATATCGCCGCTCTGCCTACATAGCGGCGTTAGCAGTTAGCAGCGGCCGATCGAGAATGTTTAATTTTTACGTTGATAGATGGCACTTATTAACAAATCATGAGTCAAATGTATTGTAAATGTCTGTTAACATTTGTATTTCGTAAAGTATGATTAAAAATATGTAAGAATTAAATAATATAGGTTTAGTTATTATATGGGTAGGGTATGTAGTGCTTATTTACATCTATGGTGTGCACACCACTGGATTTTATAAACATTTTGGTTGAGTTTTTGTCCCTATAAATCTGCTTTTACAATTTGTTTAAAAACCGTAAAATGTTATTAATCAATTTTATTGTAATAATTATATTGTTTATTTCATTAATGGGCCATTTAATAACAAAGAATGATTCACATAACATTATTTTTATTAAATACGTTTATATCACATAGAGGAATTAAAAACTACACGATGCTATTCAGATTACATGAAGCAACATAAAAGCAAACTTTAATATACATATTTGAGATATACATAACTGAGAACACCCATTTGTTTCTTACTTATATACATGGTGTTCACTTTATAAATTGCAAATGAAATAATATACGGTTATTGATTATCGTGTAATAAATATAATAGGTAACCTATTATTATATATGTGTATAATATTTTTTATCAGAGTTTACTTATGTGTAATATTTTTATTTTTTATCAGATAGTTGTTCAAGGAGCGCCATTATTTTTGCATGTTTGGTTGACTCTCTCACTGGACATTTATTTTGTACGAACAAGAGCGCGCTCTCGTCCTTTTGTTCGAATGCTACTTGCGCTGCTTCTTCATAGAACCTGGAATATTTAAATTATTTATTTTATTACCATGCATTTTATTATAGCTCATAATGAATATATACTTTAAACAATTAAGTGTCCTTATAGGCTGTAATTTATAGTCTAAGACGTGGCATGAAAATCAAATCTCGTTATACAACGAGTTTTACTCATTATTCTCTCACAACTACTTACTCGGCTTTCACGTAATATTTGACTTTAATATCGTCTCTGCATTTCGGTAGATATTTCAACGCCTCATCGTTCTTCCCGTACTTGAGACAAGCGTCCACAAACGGTTCATAGCCGCACGGCGACTTCTTTGATTTGGAGAACTTTTCTAAATCGTCCCACTTATAGCTGTCAGCCATCACCAATATTCTCAGCCACCAGTACCTGGTGAATAATGAGAAGAGATAAAATGATATATTACAAGATTTTTTAATATTTTCATTACATATTTTAGCTGTTAGATTATGATTGCTTTACACATTGAATTAATATTTTTACAAATTGCGTGAATATCTAACAATATTTTCTTACTGAGAGTTTATGTGTAAAATTAAGCAAATTCAATTTAATGTTTTTAATTTATATGCATACTTTGATACTGTCATGTGTAAAAATGATGATTGAAAAACTCCAAACTGTTAGTATTTAGTATGATTTAGAACACGTGATAGGAGTGAGATTAAAAATCTACATCTACCACACTTTAGATAATATTGAGAAGCATTTAGGTAATATTTAACAGGCAATGACTAATTATAATAATATTAATTTGTATATAAGTCACCTTTTATCCGGCATCCTGTATTCTGATCTCAGTTTATCAGCCAATTTTATTTCCCCCTGTTCTAGAAGTTTCTTCACGGTGTCGTGAAGTGAGAGTCCAACGAAACTCTCTCCATACGTCTCTTGTAGACTTGATTGTTGCTTGCAAAGCTTACGAGCCTCTTCACATATCGAAACTCCTAAAAATAACAAAATAAATAGGATTTTGAATGAAAAGTACTAAAGAATAGTCAATATTTAGTTGGTTATAAGAAAAAATATGTAATTGATGCCTATAGACTTGTACCTATTTATCATTCAGTAACTGTCTACAAAGATATTTAATACAACACTGCACTCTTTGTTTTGCTCTTTCACAATTCAGTGCATTGCAATAATTAGGACTATAAATCATGAGTATTTGTTACGTTAAAATGGTGAAATGCTCTTGCACATATAGAACCCTACAATGTAGTTCATAATCCTTCTGAATCGATGTCAGATTGAAACAAAATGGAATTGAAAATAAACAGAATTAATATAATAAAAAAACTAAATTTACTCTTACAATTTGCTCTATTCATATATATAAGCTATCCCAAAAAAAATATTAGTTTCATTTAAATGAGTACTTGCGAAAATCTTAGATCTCAGTACATAATAATATTTTTTGTCACGTATCGTGATGTTGGTGCCCACATACCGAGATCATTTCTCCCCTTCCTGTAACATTCCCGGGCTGATATCAGGGACGCTTCAACACTCCCGGGATTGCTCTGTTCGATAGCGTCCCTCACGTGTGTAGTCGCTTGTCCGTGGAAATCGTCTTCTTGCACGTAAACCTTCCTCAAAGCCTCTCTGTTGTGACTCGCGCAGTACTTTATGTACAGGGAGTGGGCTAATTTGAAGTTCACTATCGTTAGCTGAAATAAATATATTATAGTATATAATATATGTTAATAGTAACCCCATCAAATGACTTAAAGATGAACTCTTTGAGAATAGTGATGATTAATTGATTATACCTAGTGAGAGTGATGGGTTGAAGATAAGACTTCAATATGTATTGAGAAACAAGCAAACGTGATGACATCTAAGATTTTCTCGAGTTTTATTTATTTAAATGAAACTATTATTATTTTCGGATATACAACGCGACTTTATTTTTGTCAAAAACTACATACGGCTACGTTACAGCAAACGTAATCACGGACAAACGAGATGTGAAGATTTACAAGAGCATGTAGTTTTTGACAGAAATAAAGTCGCATAGTATAATCCTTAGGATAATAGTTACATTTAAATGCAAAAGTGAGCTCATTTAAATCATATTTTTATTTTGAGTGTGTGCGTGCATGCCTATGTGTGAGTAATCAGTATTAAATGTATTATTGAATCAATTGGCTCACTTCAAACTCATGTTTGCCCATCTTTTCCTTGAGATGTAGTAGTACGGTGTACACGAGGTCAGTGTTACCGCTGGCTGTGGCCTTCATGAGAGCAGAAGAACCTTCGCCAAGTGACACTAGTAAGGGCACCTGGAGCGAACTACGGGTTTCGTACTCTAAGATCTGGAAAATGAACATCACTACTAATATTATAAATGCGAAAGTAACTCTGTCTGTTTGTTAAGCTTTCACGCCTAAACCACTGAACTGATTTTAAAAAAAATTGTTACAGATATAGAGTTGACCTTGAGAAAGAACATAGGATAGTTTTTATGACAGACTTTTGAAAGGTTCTCTTGGAAACGCGATATAACCGAACTCCACGCCGGCGAAGCTGCGGGCGGAAAGCTAGTATTTCATAGAGAAGATATTGGTGTGGTCGTGGTGGCCAAGTGGTTAAAGGCCTGCTTCTCGTGCATGAGAGCGCGGGTTCAATACCTGGCAAGTACAAATGTGATTTTTCCGAGTCATATGTACTTTCTAACAGTATTTAGACATCACTGACAGGCGGTGAAGGAAAACATCGTGAGGCAACCTGAACTTATAATTTCAAATTATAAGTTTGAAATCACAAACCCGTCTTGAGCAAGCATGGTGATTAAATGCTCAAACCTTCTCTGGTAAAATGTTATCAAAATAATTATAATGTAAAGGTGTTACACGTAGCGCCATCTATGAGACTAAAAGTGAAACGTGTCTATAGAGCCCATTGCCTAAATTGTCCATGTATGAATGTTTGAACATTAATAAACACAGTCTTTTCGAAACCGTCAACCAACATCTTTTATTATTCTCTATGTGAGAAGAGGCCTTTGCTCAGCAGTGGGCTCTGTTAGGCTGATGATTATGTTGAAGATATTGATTATTAAATTCTTGTATAGGAATTTCTCCTATTATAGACATTTTGTACAGAGTACGGCTGTTTTGGAAAACCACGCTTCTTATTAGCTATTATAGAAATACTCACTTTAATGGCTAACGCTTTCCGTCCTTTCTCCGCAGCCTTCATAGCGATGGTTGAATAAGATATTCCGGGAATATTTCTCAATTTCTCTCCTATTTCCCTCGCAGCACTCTCGTTGTCCAAGTTGGGTTGAGTTACCTTATATTAAATAAGGTTTTATTCACATATATACGGCATGGGAATTTTTGTATTGCAAAATGTTTACCTTATAGCAGGCCCAGTGTGATAAAACCCTTGTCTGTCCGTCTTTAAGTTGCAGATATGACGCTATATGTTCAGCGAGACAGTGCAAGCGGCGCCATATTAATCTATCCAATAAAATATGTTTCCCAAGATGTTGGGCTCTGGTCGTTAGTTAAGGAGTTAATAAATATTCCTTAAACGGTTTTCCACTAACTTTATTCTATTTTATTTTCTATATCCAATATCAGATAACGTAATTTAATTTGAAATTGTGATTAAAAAATATAAATATGTTGAAATTTAGCAAATTATATAGACGATATTACATTTATAATTAGTAAACATTAGTATGCCTCTCTGTCAAAATGGGATATATTATCTAGTATAGAGACATGAATTTATAACATTGACGTTTATCTTCAAAACAAAACTGTATTTGACGGTAGCTACGATTTCAGCAGTATCAAAGTTCTTAGTCTTTACATAGTTCATTATTAACACATGATATTGGCGAAATCTGTAAGGAAACTCCAATTACCAAAATAGAGAGAGGGTAGTCGTATAAAAAAGGATACTGCAAGTACGTCAAGGGTATCCCCACTCTAATCCCACGTAGAGCATTCAGTACTCTCAGCCAACGACATGTATCCACGTAATGCTCGGTCAGAACCGGGTCACTGATGAATCCTTTACCAAACTGTGCGGCCCGAATCAACATTTTTTGGACATCAGGGTCGAATTCGAAGGTAGAGGCGTCTATACAGTCTTGGACAGCAGCGGCAAGATCTGGCTTCACCAAACGAATGTACTCATCGGCGCGATGACTCCGACGCTATAAAATTATAAATTATTTATTGATGAATATATTAAGTGTTGTGTTTTACATATAAAAACTTAATTAAATTTGTAGTTAAAGATGATGAAGATTTTGTTGGATTTGTTTTATGTTAGAAATATATAGTAATCCATATTAATGTGATCAATTAACAAGGCCTCTAAGAAATTTTTTTAAAACTATATTAAAGTAAGTTTCAGAATGTAATAGTTATTCTATTATGGTTCCAATAATCATTATAATATAAGAATGTGTTTGATATTAAATAATCTGGAAATTAGGGTAAAAGCTATTAAATATTAAAACAAATATTACATATCACGTTTTATAAGGAATAAAGATGCGTATCTTGTGTTATTTCATTTATAATATATATTGTATAAGTAAATAAAAAAATATATACTGTTTAGGTATTAATTGTTTTTTTAAAAAAGTTTCGCTTTGGATTCATTAAACTATCCTGACAAAAAAATACTTTCGTCAAAACTTATTAAAATTTGGCATAAAAAGCCAACATCAAGCGGTGTTCCCAGGCGGTCACCCATCCAAGTACTGACCGCGCCCGACGTTGCTTAACTTCGGTGATTGGACGAGAACCGGTGTATTCAACGTGGTATGGACGTTGGCGATAATGTTGTTAAATTTACCAGTTTGAATGTATTTTAGAAATTTTATGTTATTTATCTGTTAACTATCACAACAAATGTAAAATTGACATTTATATAAGCTTTGCCAATAATCACAAATGTACTTATTTGTATTGCAGTACTTTCTTCTATTTACAGTTTACCGTATATGAACAAACGATGTTGGTTTAAATTACTTCATTATTATTATGTACTAGCTTTTGCCCGCGACTTCGTCCGCATGGAATAGTTCCCGTTCTTGCGGAATTTTCAGAATGGTCGTTTTTGGTCGGAATGTTTTCTTTTTTCGAGTTTCAAACTATATCTGTACAATTTTTAAAGTAAATTTAATTATTTTAAAGAACTTCTGCATATACTACATTTTTTGTTTTATTATCTTGTGGCAGAAGAACATATTGATTTTCGCCACAACCCGATCTTGAGAACGATCAGCACTCGATTCCCGTTGCCAGTTCGCCAAAGTTCGGAAATTTTGTGAGGCTAAACGCTGCGAACGTTCAACGCTTGATTCCCTTGCACGGTTTTGTTCAGTAATTGCTCGTTGTGTAGCCAACCTGTGCATATTTTCAACCTCAGTTTCATTGTTGCGCAAAACTCGCAGCCGCTTTGCAGTAGCAGTCTGCCGAGAAAGCCGAGTTCTTTTTCTCTGCATTATAGTGATGAAGAAAAAACGTAGAAAATGCAAACTTAACTAAAGATTAAGAAGATTAATAATAAGGAACCTAATTACTTTTATTTGAGCCGTGAGCCGCGTTCGTTTTGTTTCGGAGTAATCTTTTTGTTGGTTTTGTTTCGGAGTAATCTTTAAAGTTTTTTGTTGAAATTAAGTTATGTCAAAGACAATTTTATTCACAATGAAGTACTCTTAACCAAAAACACATTTATTTGTTTATTTGAATAAAGATTAATATTATTATGTTGATACAACTTAAACAAATTATTTCGACCAAATTAGGTACCATAAAAACGGTTTTTGTGAGTTAATCTTAAAAGATAGACATATACTGTCGAGGACTGTTTTTTAGATCATTAAAAGAGCTATTATTCTTTGATACATATTTTTTGTGTATCTTGAATCGTTTTCACTCCGCACGCAACGGAACGCACGCAACGGCTTCAAAGATGAAATAATTCTCCCGTTTTTTACACATTTACCACTATATCTTTGCTCCCTTTGGTTGTAGCATGATGTTATATAGCTTACAGCCTTCCTCGATAACTGGACTATCTAACACAAAAAGAATTATTCAATCCGAACCAGTAGTTTCGGAGATTAGCGCGTTCAAACAAACAAACAAACTCTACAGCTTTATAATATAAGTATAGATTATTATCGAAATTAAACGGCGATGTAGCTTTGACGTCACGAAAATACTTAGTACATACATATAGGAAAGAATTTACATCCAAACCTGTATGTAGTATTCGCTAGATCACGCGCGAGTACATATATTTGTTACCATAACTTTTGTTTTAAAACACTATACAATTTCTTTGAGATCAGAAATTCACGGGAACGAAGTCGCTTGAAAATTTCGTACAATACAGGGTGACTGGTGAATTACTATCAATATTTAAGGAGAATACTCGGTACATGATTCTCATTCGAATTATGTAAAAAAAATAGGTACTTAATTTTTGACCGAATTTCCGTATAAATAAATAAAGTGTGGAGACGTTCCAAGTGTTCCAAGTGTGGAAGCGTGCGGCGGCGTGCTGATACAACACCACGCCGCCGCGCGCGAGTGTGTGTGTGTGTGTGTGTATACCTAATCTGTAGGGTGTTCACACGATGCGTAATTAATTACATAACTTTTGGTTAACTTTACTTAGAAGTTTATTAATATTTATGTTATATTAATTTTTATTTTGTCATATATGATCGTCAAATATCACGTCCTCAAGTATCGATAGTAATTCACCAGTCACCCTGTATATCTAGTTATACATATTCTATATCTATAATGAATACCTGAAATTGTTTCGAAGCTTCAACCAGATACGATCCGGGCGCTGTGCTGTTGATTCTGAATATCTTTTCCACTACCACTGGTACTTTCTGTATCAACTCGTGTGTCATTTCCGATATAACTCTCACACAGTCGCTCTCTTGTATGAGGTGGAAGGGTCCGTCGTAGGGGTACTTTACTGATGTACCATTAAGGCCGTAAATACACATTGTGTCATCCCAATGTGCTATCACCGCTTGGGATCCACACCTGTAAAGGTTTTATTGTACTTGTACTTTGTATATTATACTTTAAAAAGCTTGTATTACATAAGTATTCAATTTTCTATTATTATATTATTTAAATAACAAAAATATTGAAATGATCTTATAATACTCATATAATAATATTATTTTGGTAGGATATACTTATAAACAAAATCAGTGTAGGCGTAATAGTCCAAGTATTTAAAGAAATTTATGAAATTACTTATAATTAATTATAACTGGTTACCGAGCTTTGTTCGGTATTTAGGAATTATAAGAATTTATTTTTATTTTTTTAGGCATTTTTAAGTGAACATGTTAAGAAGACACACAACAATATAAATCAACAATTAATTTCTTAGTCTAATCTCAAAACAAACACTCATTGACTTCCTGTTACTTAACAACGCCATCTGCTGTTTTGTCGTTAAGGCAATTAGTAAAAGTAATTAGCAAAAATAGTATTATTATTCGCCAATAGATGTCAGGAAGAGTCATATTTTAAACGCTCCTTTTTGTTATTTCTTTTTTAACATGACATTTTCTAAAAATGATTCCTAGCTAGATCGCATTATGGCCCCAGAAACCCCTTATACTACATTTTATCAAAATCGTTGGAGCCGATTCCGAGATTCCAATTATATGTATACAATATACAAGATTATACAAGAACATACAAGAATTGCTCATTTAAAGATATAAGATTTTGGAATGTAATCAAAAATAATTCACGTATAATTATGTGACAAACAGACAAAAAAAATCATTTCCACTCACCAGAGCAGTTCTTTTGGTTGTTTTATGTATTCTGTGTCAATCTCACAGTATTTACTCTTGAAATCTGATGATCCCAGCCACAGAAATCCAGAATCAGTGAACAATGCCACATGACGACCATTATCTGATGGCACTATTGTTAGAATTAGGGAGAACGCAATTGTTATATCTGGTCGCTGAAATATAGAAAAATATTATTATTTAATGCTAGTTATGACCCTCAGTTTTACTCTTGGATACGATGTTTTAACTACCTTTCAGCAACCGAGATCACGGGCAGCGGGATGATCACGGTTGCTAAAAACTAGCTAAAACGTCAGGGAGTATGTAGTTTTTTATCAAAAATAGAGACGCGTAGTACATATTAAGGGCTCATTCTGGCCCTGGCAAGTACCAATGTGATTTTTCCGAATCATATGTACTTTCTAAGAGTATTTAGACATCACTGATAAATGATGTCAGGCAGGCGGCTGGTCGTGAAAACAATTAGCCAAAACTATTCACAACATGTAAGGCAGAACCTGGCTAAATCTGGGAAATTGCCAGGTACAAGAAGAAGATATAAAGAGAGAAGTCCAATAAATAATATACATTTATATACATATTATAATAACTAAAAGCCCTACCATAAGTATAGGTCTTGATTCTCCGAGCTGACATCTATATACTTCCTTATCCCTACATATAAGGACAGCAATATTTGGAGAAACTCGTGGATCGGAGCTGATAACACACCAACAGCTGATTGGTTCATTTGCTCCTATAAAATAATATATTCATTAATCAGTACATGATAAATGTTATCAAACATATTTTCCATTATTATTATGTACTTATACTTGCTAAATAATAATAATAATATGGTGTTAGGTATAATGTATCTAGATCACTTTTTTATATGTAGTTCTATCATTCAGTCTTGATTACTTAGCACAAAACATATATAACAAATTTTATATAGTTTTTTTGGATAATATATTAATGTAGATTTATTTTATATATAAAATTTTCGTGTCGCGGTGTTAGACAGCGAACTCATCCGAAACGGCTGGGCCGATTTTGATGAAATTTTGTGAGCATATTGAGTAGGTCTAAGAATTGGCCAACATCTATTTTTCATATCCCTAAGTGATAGGGGTTGTTCACCAAATTTTCTTTTTTTAATTTGGACGAAAGGTTTTGTTTATATTTTTGTATCTTGTGGCATAAGAAAATACATATAACTCTAAATTTGTACTTTCTTACCATCAACCCCTACTTTTGATATGGCAAAACAATGTTTGCCAGGTTAGCTAGTATCTGTATTGTATATAATGTAAGGATAAATTAATTGTATACTCACTAGGTATTTCAGGCACAGTTCTTATTTTAGGTTCTGATACATTGCTCAATAGGAATATCCGGTTTGTTGTTGTTATGACAGCGAGACCTTTACCATGTGGACTTGAAAATAACTGGGCTTTACAGACCTGGAGAAAACTAATTAATGTACTAGAATGTATTGACAAATGTTAATAATATAATATCTATTTCAATAGTAATACCTAATGATTAATTAAACTTAGTTGAAGATGTCATCCATGTTAAAAATAAAGTTATGAGAATTTAATTGTAATTTCTTGCAACAAATTTTCATTTGACAACTATATTGTGTTAAAATTAATCCCGATTCATTCCTCAGTAATGTTAATAAAATTTTTGTGCTCACTGCAAATGTATATAAAATGGTTTTTGTTATATTGTTGTTATTTCATTTAGATTTCAGTTCCCACAACCTTATGATAAATATTATATTAAAAAATCACAATCAAAAAGGTCATCTAGATTTTTTGAGTGTGGGATAATAAATTTGGTAATTGATTATAATACAAGAACAATTAAAATGTACATATACAATCTATTTTAAGTATCCTACTAATATTATAATTGCGAAAGTTTGAGTGTGTGTGTGTATGTTTGTTTCTTCTTCACACTCAAACGGATGAACTAATTTTGATAAAATTTTGTATACAGGAAGCTGACGTCCAGGAATAACACATACACTATTTTACATCTCGGAAATCCGCGGGTAACACCTCGGGGCGCAGCTAGTATATAATAAATATATGTATAATAAAATGAAACCTTTCTTTATTAACTTTACCAATACTGTGGGACTACTAATTGTTTACTAGATGAAGTCTAACTCTTAGTTTTTTTCATCTTATTAATTTCCATTCTTATTTAGACAATTATGAATATTTTTTTAACAAAAAATATTTATATGTTATTGGCATAATTACATAACATCTCTCTGTTTAAATTAGTTTATCACTACCGGTAATATGTTTTTTTCATTGAAAGTTATTTATTAAATTCTATTATAAGTTATACATTGTTAATATACACACCTTTGTATCTCTAACTTCTTGTCCTAAACTGAATGTTTTTTGATATGCTCCAAACATATCATATATCAAAACATCTCCACTTTCTTGAATACATAGAAGCTGTTCACCATCGGACCAGCCCATGTGTATTAAAACCCCGTTATTCCACTGGAATATAAATTCAATTTATATATACACCTATATAGATACAAAATATTTACTTATAATAATTTGTAATTCTTTAGCCTTTATTTTAAATAATTATCTTATCGAGTGTACTTATACAATTTAATTAATGATTAAATTTGAAATATTTATTTTCAGACATTATGTATGTGGGTTGTGTGCAAACAAAGTAAGTAGTACTATTCTCATATTAAAAATATTAGTGCAAAATTTTATCCTCAAATGAGTATTTTTTTTTTCATAATTATTAAGATATTTTCAATGTTTATTTTTAAGTCTGATTCATTTGGGTATATAAGATATATTTACCAGAATCTTTGATATAATGTTCCCGACACAGTTATATATAGTGATTACTGGCTTAGCTGTTGTCACAATCCTTACAAACTGTTTTCTGTCTCTAACAACAGCGATAGGTCCACCATACTGTGCTCCGCTGACAATCATGTTGCCGAGGCCTTCATCCATCGACCATACCATGTTATACAAATCAAATTTCCTATAATAAATACACATCACTTATAGTGTTAGAACAAACAATAATTTAATACCATGAAAATTAGTTGTATACAACAACTTGATATTCAAAATATATATAGTAGTCATGTAGTAGTGATAATTATAGTAATAGTCCTAATAGTTTAAATTACAAAATGAAGATGAATTTAGGAGATAGGAGAGAAGTTTAAGAATTTTAAACTAAATCTGAAATTAAGTGGACATTGGAATGAATCCATTACAAACCTGTAATAGGAATCTAGATGAAACCAATCCGCTGTTAATAAAGCTGACATTTTGTATAATTTTTGATATCACCAATTCTATAGTAGCAAAATTAAATATAATATAAAAAACGAATCTTTAAAGGCCATTCATTTCTATAAAGGCCTGTTCACAATGATTTTAAATTAAATTAATTAAGAACTGTTAAATTTAATAAACAAGTCGCCTTTCTGTTTCTTTTCCAAAACAGTTTTTCAGTTTTCTAAAGTGTCAAAACAAGATGTTGTCAAATGTACGTGACAGTGACATGAGTGTGATACTTTGCAGAGTAAAAATTTAAAAATCTGTTTTAACGCATGGTAAGTGTGGATACAACACATAATATATTAGTAGATATCATAAGTGACAAGATACATAATTATTTCTATATATTTTTTAAATATTTGTTATTATGTAAATAAATGTTTAATGTTTCTTATTATGACTGCTTTGAAAAAAAAAAGGAAAGCTGATAATAATCGACACTTGAATGTAATGTTTCCGATTATGTAAAATACTTATTATTATAATTTTATGATTTAATCGTGACGGAAGGTGTGAGTTAATTTATTGTTAGTATATTTGATAGACTTCAAAAGTTAGATGATTAATTTTTGAGTAAGACCTTATTGATAAATAAATTTTTATAATACTTGTAGCCGTTAATAATAAAACATTTTTTTTTTATACCTAAAAATAATTCCTATAATTATATATTTGTGGAGTAAACATATTAAAATAAAACCTAATATATTAAAAGAAGAATAAAATGCATGTGAGAAGACAAATTTCGAAGCTTACAAACGCATAAGAAAAAAATGAAACATAAAAGCAACGGACTCTATAAATTTAATTACTATTCTAATTGAATTCTATTACACCTAACAGGAAATTGCTAATTATATTTTGTAATTAATAAAACACACTATTACTTTTCACTTTCTGTGTATGAAAAACTTAAAGGTATTGTACCCTTGTAATACAGCTTTCACGGCCACTAGTCGTTTCATAATATGGCGATTTCTTTAAACTTGAAGCGATTTAAAATTGGAATGTGAAATTGATCATTAGTTGTTATGAGTATAAATTACAGTCTTGTAATTCCTGACCACAATTATTTAATGACATATCAAGCAAGTGATGAAATCGATTTCAAATAAATGTATAAAAATGTAATGTTATCTACACATAAGAACACGTAAACGGTAAACACAGAAAAAAAATATTGATAAATGTATCTAATTTAATTAGAATACGAAATGTTAAAGTCAAATTGCATAGATATTTAATTAATATTTTAAAATACGTAAAAAAGAATATCTATAATGTTTAAATTTCTTCTTTGAATTATAAAAAATAGAGCACATTTACCAATAATTGCAGCTAGTATGTTCTTACATATATTATCAATTTTATGTTTGGGGAATTGTCATGATTTAACTCGAAAGGTATTAAATAGTTTTGTATGAATTGTGATTTGTGACTTCAATCTTCTTCTTCCTCTCATTCTTTCTGGGAATTTCCCAGCTTTAGCCAGGGTCTGCCGTACATGTTGTGAATAGTTTTGGCTAATTGTTTTTACGACCGGCCGCCTGCCTGACATCAACCTTCTTTGATAATGATTTGTGAACATATAATTATTTAAGTTTTTTTAAATTGCTTCCTGTTTGACTGAAAAAGCATCGATAGAAGCATTGTTGTTGCCGAAGCCATAGCGTTGAAAAAAAAATTTATATAACCTTCTACCATGACTTCGCTCTGGGCACTTAAAGAATTCCTGATTTCAAACAGAAAATCCTGGATAAATTATACATCCGTGCAATCAGTTATATTGATGGCTATTACATAATAGTTAGAGGAAAAATATTATAATTATAACTAATAAAGAAAGTATGATTATGATAATTTGATGTTTATTATGGTTCCAAAAAGTTTGTATATTTTAAAAAGGATGAATTTCTTTGTAAACTTGCTAATCATTCAGCGATTACGAAACTAGATGTCGATTAATTTAATACTCATAATTTCTTATAGTAATTTGTATAATTACTAAATCTAATTATTAATCAATTTAAAATTATATTATAAGAAATTTAAATGTCTAAGGATTTCGTCGTATAGATTTGCAATATTTTTTTTTAATTTTAAAAATGACAGATAAAACCGAATAGGTTGTAGTCTTTGCCTGGGTCATTTTTAGGGTCATTGACCGGTAATAAATCAAGTATAAGTAAAAACTATAATACAAAGCCAGTTAGTTGCTTTATGACAATTATTATGTTTTCGCATGAACGCCGGCGAACCAGGCACCATATTCTCACGCTTCGTGTTTTGTACACGGACTATTAAGTTGTGGAATTTACTTTTACATGCTATCCCTGTCTGTCTTTTATATATTATGATGAGTGTAAAAGAGACAGAAGATTGTCAGGAAAGCATAATTCATCACGGATAATAACTTCACGCACACGAGTCTATCATTCAATTCTACACTTCGTGATGCTTGGAATTGTTTAAGCTTTAGCAACAGATGTGAGGAATATGTGTTTTGTTTGGTTTGATTAAAAAAATCTTCGGAATAGCTATAAAAATATATCAAAGGGAGGAAAACGAGAAGTATATTAGCATACATAATCTTGGCAAAGACGGTTTTTGGTTGAGTGGGTCAATTTATAAGACTAAGAGTTTGGTAAATGTAGACAGCTTGTTTAGGGTTAAACCTTTACGATAGATTACTAAGGATTAAATTTTTACTAATATCACGTTTTGACTTTCAAAAGTATAAGAAAATTTTTGAAGGCTCTTGGCTTTTTAATTTTTGTCCTGTACTTTAACGGTTTAATATTACTAAAATATCACTAAGCTAATAAGACATTTATGACTCGAACATTTTTAAATAACTATCCGGCACCGTATATATGGAAACGTTAGAAAAGATAATCTCCATAAAATAAAAAAACGTAAGCAAAGTCAAAGTAAGAAAGTAGATAAGTAATGAAATTAGTTTTTTTTTGTAGTAACAAAAGATTACAACGTACTGACCTACGAAGTAACGGTTCGTTGAAGATTGATATATCTATACATTATACTTAATTATAAATATCAAATCTAATTGTGTTAACAGCGACTCATAGATTTGAAAAAAATAGACGGAGAAGTATGATAAAATAATTAAATATTTTTTTTGTGCTTACAAATATTTATAAAGCCGTTAGGAAAACAAGTTTTGAATGAATAAGTATTTGATATGCTCGAATGTAATAAATCTAGAACTTTCTTAAGTTTTAAAACATATACTAGGTATAAATATATATGATAAAGATATATATAGAGACTTAAATATTCTACAATGTATGGAAATAAAGCAAAACAAACTGGCTCTAGTTTTTTATAACCACATAATATGAAAAATATTCTATAAATATACAATACATGGTATTTCATTGTTAGCCCTAAGTGTTTTTGTTTATATTTTTTTTATCTACTACGATAATGTTTTTTGTGCGTTTGTAAAACTCGCGTTGATGTCTCTTGTATGTAAATAGTTACACGTACGCGAGGTGCGCACGCGCAGCATCAAGCAAAGATAGCCATATCAAACTGTCGAATTGAAATATTAAAATAAATAATTATAAAAAAATATTAATGAAACATAAACAAATGAATTATGTTCTTTTCTATGACAAATCATCAATAATTAAGAAGTGAATGTTTCAAAAGGAATGAATTATATCTATATTTTGATAAGATGCTGTTATTTGAATGGTATTTAGCGTGACTAACGCATTACACGAACTGCATACCAAGGCTTTTATTTCATACAAAAAGGCTTTTAAAAATAGATTAGTACAAAATATGATTAAAAGTATATAGGATAATAATTAAATATAGTTATATGTATTTAAAACTACTCAAGGTCCTATCTTGTCATCCCCTCCACTTCTATACAACGGTAAAGACAAGTCGCAACGCGGCCTGCGCAGGCGACGGTCCAGTCGCATACCATTATAATAACTATACAATAAGTGAAGATGTTTGAGTGATTTTAGAGTGATACAGTGATGAGTGATATTGTGAGTGTTCCAATGTATTACAAGCTTGAAAAGGCAAGTTGTATAGCTTTTAAATTTTATATTAAATTGTAAAATTTTAGTATGAATACAAAATGTTCTGAATAAATGCTTTTCAGAATATTGATTTTTGAAGTAATTGTATGGATTTAATATTAAGTTATTTGTGTTTATAAAAAAGTTGTATTGAAATAGAAACCAGAAAGGTTAACGCGCTCGTTTTTTTGTGAGTGAGCTGGCTTTACTTGATAGCCTCAAACTTGATTCTGAGCAAATAATATCTATTTATAGCTACGTGCTTATGAGTTGAGAAAAAATTAAACCTTAACAAATGTATTTATATATAAAAGTACACATAACATATAAATAAGTTTTCTTAATATAAATTAACAAATAATATCATATAATTAATGTACATTAAATAATATTGCAACGCGAAGTAACAGTGAAAAGCTGCATTGAGTTTTAATAATAAGTTGTGATGTCAAGTTAAATACTTAGAGAGCAGCGCCTTTTGAAGTTTCAATTACTTAGACAAAGTCCCAACTACTTTATTAATTGAAATTAAACTGGAACCTTATTTCATATTATTCCATTCATTATAAGCCACGGAATGTCTTATAGGGTTGTCACAATTTATTTTCAAAGTCGTGATATAAATTTATTTGTAGTTCTTTTATAATTCTTTTTATAACGAAGTGTCAACCTTGGTGATTCATTTTAATTAATATCGTAATATCGCGAGACTGTATATAAATAACAATCAACAAATCCCAGCTATTGTCTGATGGAAATCCACATAGCTACCATAAATGGGCGTAATATCTCATTCGTAGAAATGGGGTTCATACTTCATAGTTCGAATATCTCATTGTGTTTAATATTACTGAATGTAAATGCTTCAAAAGTTTCGCTGACTCCAGTTGAAAATATTGTTATGGTAATATTTAGTGAGAATTACA